TTAGAGAATGATGCATAAAATGCAAGTAAAATATCACTGGGGAGACTTTCAATGAGAATCATCGAACCAAGACTGAAATAAACCACCCCACGAGTACTTTTATCCATCCATTGTTTTAATTCCTTTTTATACAGAGAAAGAAAAAAAATAGATTTGTCCCATGAGTAAATTTATTAGTTTTATTTTATGATAAACTTAGAAAATCGATTTGCTTTTTTTTTTTTGTTTCTAAAGCCAACCTTTCGTTTCTTTTTCATTGTATTGAATAGTTAACTACACTGGAACTCCCAAGAGAGTCACTCGTCGAGTTTTATGTGTCTCTCTTGGAGAGTGTGACCTTGAGGCTTTCTGAGTCTCACTAGTACTGAAATAATGACAATAATAATACTTGAATAAAGATACTATCTAAAATTGTTGATAATGTTCCTGACAAAATTGTTAATCTTTAATTTTTCATTTATTGGATTCATTTAAAACTTGTGGATCACTGAAAAGTGATCCACAAGTTTTAAATGAATCCAATAAATGGATCCAATCTAAAATTGGATTTAGAATTTTAATTTCTTGTGAGCATTTCGTATTTGTATAAAGATTACAAGAATGTTCCTATAATTGGGATTAAAATGTTAATTTTTTATTTAATGGATTTATTTAATTTATTAACGGATTATGTACAATTGTACCGCGCAAAAAGATGAAACTTTCTCGATTTTCTTTTTGACACAATAAAAAAAAAATGTATTCAAAAATCTTTTGTCAACGTCGAATGAAATATATTTCTAAGTACTTGGTGAAAATTTTTCATCAAAAAATATTAAATAATAAAAATGTTTGAAATAATATTCAAAAATCTCGTCTTGGTGACTCTCGAAAGTTCCAGTGTACTACGTAAGGCGCATGCGCTGGGAGAGGGGGGTCAACGAGTGCGAGAGAGAAGTTCGTGTCTTTCTCTCTCGCTCTCATTGGCCGGCGCTTGCGCCTTACGTTCCAATTGATGCTCCGAGTCAGGAATGATCGTTTATTTCATCGTTTTGTTATTAAATTTAATAATTTTTATTAATTAATTAAATTAAGAGTGGAATTAAACTCACAGGTGTGAATTCATCATCATTTTGTTCGGCATGAATTCCAGCAATTGGAATCACTGCTGTTGTGAATGGTTTTGGTCCATATAGTGAGTGATGATAATTTGTGAACATTAGAGCAACACTTCGCTCGACTATCCTGACATTTGGCATATTGGGATCCAAATATTTTCGCATTGCCTCCGTTTGCCTTTTCTCGGTCAATCTCTGAAATCTAAATCTCGTGATGTGATGAACAAATGTGCTTTGCAAGCGTTCGAAAAACGTCGAGATAAATGCTTTGTTCATGAAGACATTCGTGGCAAATGCAGTCGAACTGGGATTACCAATTGCCTCCGAGACCCATGAGAAATCCAATAATGTCGAAACCGTTATTACTGGCGCTTTTAATACGTAGCCCAATCCAATATAACAACTCGAGCTGAATGCCTGAATTTTACGAAATGAATTATTTATTTTTTAATTTAAAACATAGAAATTAAAAATTAACAAATAGAAATTTTAGTAGAAGAGCATCAAATTTAGCTTTTAGTAAGCGTCAAATTTCAAAATTAAATGGGTGCCAGTTTCAGCGTCATGTTACATACAGGGCTCGAACTAGGTGCCTAAATCCCGTAAAAGTCCTTAAATTTGCTTAAAGTCCGTAAAAGTCCGTTTTTTGAAAAAAAAAGGTCCGTAAAGTCCGTAATTTTATTGAGAAAAGACGAAAATTTCGTAAATTGTACGATATAATTTGGAGAATTTTAAAAAAGTTACAAATGATTGGAGAAATTCAATTATTTTCAAAAGTAATAAAACTCTTCGCAGACATTCAATTATGTTCAAAATTTTTTTTAAATTCTAGTCAAACTTTCAATTATCTTTAGAAATAATTAAATTCTTCTCCACAATTAAATTATTTTCAAAAATTTTAATAAAATTCTTGGCAAAATTTCAATTATTTTCAAAAATTTTTCTCAATGCAATAATTTCCAATATCTACTAGTAGTTTAATAAAGTTTTACAAAACAATTCAATTATTTTAAAAAAATTTGAATAAAATTCTTGGCAAACATTGAATTATTTTTATAAAATAATAAAAATTTTACAGGAAATCAATTATTTACAAATTTTTTATAAATTTCTTCGCAATCATTCAATTATTTTCATAAATAATAAAATTTTTGCACGTATTCAATTATTTTCGTAAATAATAAAATTATTTTTAGGAATTCAATTATTTTCAAAAAAAAAAGAAAACTCATTGCTGAATTTCAATTACTTTTGAAACAATATTAATCAATTCGTCGAAAAATGTAATTATTCTTAAGAATTTTATTAGAATTTGTCGAAAGAATTCAATTATTTAAAAATTTGTTGATAAAATTCTTTATGAAAATTTAATTTTGAAAAAAAGCAATTATTCAATATATTGTTTTCTTTTGTATGTAAATAATTGAATTCTAGTAGAATTTTCTATTAAAAATTGATTTTAAAATGTATTTCAGTTATAATTTTTTATTATAATTTTTATAATATTGAATATTAAAAGCATTAGAGCGTGAATATTAGAAATAATTGAATTTTGAAAAGCTTTCAAATTGAAACCTTTGAGAATCTGAATTTTTAATATTTTTAACTGTGAAATTAATTTTTTTGTGTAAGTTGAATTGCGGATTTTTTAAAAAATTATTTCAAGTTTTTATTTTCTAATATATATATTTAATTGAAGAATTTACAAATATTTGAAATTTTGTAAAATTGAATTGTATATACAAATGAACATAAAAATTCTCAAAGAACTTTTTCAAAAAAATTATTTAAAATAATGCTTATGGAGAAGAATTTTAGTTAAAACCCCGAAAAAAATTTTAATTTTGGAATAGTTACAAATTATTGCAGAAATTCAATTTTTCCAAATAATCAAGAGTAATAATATTCATCGCAAAAATTAAATATTGTTCAAAAATAATCAAATTCTTCTTCGGGATTCAATTATTTTCACAAACAATAAAACTCATCGCAGAATTTCAATTATTTTTAATACAATTTTAATCGAATTTCCCTAAAAATGTAATTATTCTTAAAAATTTTATTAAAATTCGTCAAAGAAATTCAATTATATTTAAAAATTGATTGATAAAATTCTTTGTCAGAATTGAATTTTAAGGAACATTCAGTTATTGAATAAATTATTTATTTTTGTAGGTATTTAAATAATTGAATTCTAGTAGAATTTTCTAATAAAAATTGATTTTCATAAAATAATAAAAATTTCACAAGAATTCAATTATTTACAAATTTTTTTATAAATTTCTTCGCAATCATTCAATTATTTTCATAAATAATAAAACTCATCGCAGAATTTCAATTATTTTTAATACAATTTTAATCGAATTTTTCGGAAAATGTAATTATTCTTAAAATTTTTACTAAAATTCGTCAAAAGAATTCAATTATTAAATATTTGTTGATTAAATTCTTTATGAGAATTCAATTTTAAGAAACATTCAAATATTCTATAAATTAATTTTTTTCGATTTAAATAATTGAATTTTAGTAGAATTTTCTAATAAAAGTTGATTTAAAAAATGAATTTCAGTTAAAATTTTAGATAATAATTGAATTTTTTCTTAAAGAACGTTTTCAAAAATTATTAAAAATAATGGATTTGTAGAAGATGTTTAGTTAAAAACACGAAAAAAAAATTCAATTTTGGAAAAGTTACAAATTATTGCAGAAATTCAATTATTTTCAAGAGTAATAATATTCTTCGCAAAAATTCAATATTGTTCAAAAATAATAAAATTCTTCTTAGGGATTCAATTATTTTTAATACAATTTTAATCAAATTTTTGGAAAAATGTAATTATAATCTTAAAATTTTTATTAAAATTCGTCGAAAGGATTCAATTATTTAAGAATTTATTGATAAAATTCTTTGTGGGAATTGAATGTTAAGAAACATTCAATTATCCAATAAATTATTTATTTTTGTATTTAAATAATTTAATTTGTAGTAGAATTTTCTAATAAAAATTGATTTTCATTTCATAAAAATGAATTTCAGTTAAAATTTTAGATAATATAATTGAATAATAAATTCAATATAGCGTGAATATTTAGAAATAATTGAATTTTGAAATTAATTTTGTCGAAAAAGTTTAATTGAATTTTTTGGTATTATTTTAAGTTTTTATTTTCTAATATATATTTAATTGAAGAATTGACGAATAATTGAAATTTCGTAAAATTGTTTGTTGTAATGAAATGTATTTGAAAATTCTTAAAAATAATAATTGAATTGATGATGATTTTATCACTCGGTCATGAATTATTATAAAATATGAAGAAACGATCACATAAAATGTTCTCTTATTTGACTCTGACTGGTTATATTTTTGTCAGTAATTGGTCCGTACTTTTTAATTTTTTATCCGTGAAGTCCTTATTTTTAAATACTTTCACTGATTCGAGCCCTGTACATAACACATAATAGAAATAAATTTCTACTAAAAAAGAGAAATTAAAAAAATGAAAACCTCTGTTATGATGAGATCGTAATGATGTGGAGGATTTTTGATGAATTTTTGCATTTTTTCGAGAGCCATTAAATCACAGAAATCATTGCCATAAGTTGTGGCAATGTGAATTATGGGATCGTGTCCAATTTGTGAGGCAAATTCAACTGAAACATTGTTAGTTAAATCCTGTCTTGTCCCATGTAAATTAATGATTGTCTTATAATTATCTGGAGGATTCTTGAGTTCAAAATGACTAACGACATCAATTTTGTGTCCCCGTTTAGCGAGGCCCTTCATTAGCGGATCGAACATATTATTGTGACTTTTTGAATTCATTGGAAATACTCCCAGAATTCTATAACTTTTAATTTCCACAATCACACCACAAACAATCAATAATAATTGAATTTTCATTTTCCCCTATTTCACAAATTTCAAAAACCAAAAAGAAACCACTTCTTCACTTTTTGATAAAATTTACCAATTTCTGTCGAAATTCTGATTTGCTTAAATTGTTTTTTTATTTTATTGCAATAAGTTCTTAGTTCTAATAAAATAATTTATAAAATTTTTAGGTTTACAATAAATAGAAATATTTAATTTTTTGGGGAGTGATTAATAAAGATAGTTTTAATGGAGTAAATTTTTTTACACACAAATTAAAAAATTGAGTAAATAAAAAAATAGTGGATTTTTTTACACGAAAATTAAAAAAAAATGGGGGAGTAAATAATAAAAATATTGTTTAGAAAGTAAATTTTCTTTATAGTCGAGAACGGAATAGTATATTTCGTAACGAGTGCGAGAAGTTGTCAATTTTTGAATGAGCTCTTTTTTTGGAACAAACTGTAGGCGAAGCGAAGCTTCGCCTACAGTTTGTTCCAAAAAAAGTGCTCGTTCAAAAATTGGCAACTGCTAGCACTAGTTACGAACGATATTTTTTATAACAAGGTGCAAAAAAGTGCCCTTTTTTGCACCGCGTTATGAAAAAATTTTTAATTAGTAATTTTTCTTTGAAAGGGATGATAGAAAGAAATTGTTATAGACTCCGGAGAAAAAGATAATGCGCTCAGTGCAACGATGTTTTTCGACTGATAGAATTTAATGAAACAACGCAAAACGAGATAATAAAATCAGTTTCAATGCTCTGCTTGCATAATGCTTATTGAATGGAAAAATCTTTAGAAAAATTTTATTTAAAATTATATTTATGATAAACTTAATAATCTTCTATACGTTTAACTTCACTATTGCAAAATTGATCTAGGCACTTCAAAGAAAAAAAAAATTAGAGATAAAGTTACGTTTCATTTTTTAAACATCAGATAAAATTTACATTAATAAAATAAATCAGTGAATAATATTTTCTCTATAAAAGTAACGAATTATTTGTTATTCTAAATATTTTTATTGAAATTTTTATTTAACATCGAATAAAATTTACATTCAAATCGAAAAATTAAATACATTTTCTCTAAAAATGACGAATTATTTGTTGCTCTATAGTTAAAATTATGTTTTTAATTAGCTAGTATACTTAAAAATAGTTAACAATATTAAATACTTAGAAAGCTAAAATACCTCCACTTTTCTTAGTTGTTGGCCTTGTTGGCAAAAGGAAAAATTTAAAAATTAAATCTACAATAAGTTTTAAGGAGAGAATTGTTAAAATCAAAAGTATTAAAAAGCAGAGCATTAAAAATCCGTAAACGTCGAGAAGTTCCCTTTTCCACCAATTTACACCGACTGCAGGTGATCTTAAAACATTTGGTCCATTTCGAATTACGTATTCTACCCAATAATTGACAGTTTGACTCGGTGTAAATGGCCGGTCGTGAAATAATTTTGATTCACGTTTCGCTGATTCCCTGTGACACATTTTATAATTTTCTTTTAATTCTAATTTTAATTTTTGTTTTAAATTCAAAAAAGAATTTTCTTTTCTACAGTATAATTAAATTAATTAATTTCTTCTGTTTCTCTTGCTTTTTATACTTTGAAAAAACGATATTTTAATAAACATTTCTTCTCTGAGGAAATATTATGTAACTTAATATTTAAAAATGTTATGTTTGATTCAAACTGAATTTTCTTTTTTTTTTTTTTTTGAAAAACTGTATTCAAATTAAATTAAAAGTTGATTATGTATAATTTAAAATCAACCTTAATTTATTTTTTAATAAAATATTTATTAAATTAGAAATAAAAATTTTTTTGAATTGTTTATCAAAGAGAAGAAATTAAAAAATTATTTTTTTGAAAATTATGAAGAACATTTAATATTCAATTACCTGTAGATGGGATCATGTAAAAGAGAATTGAAAGCTTTGTTTAACTTCTCCTCAGTTATTGTTTTATAATCTAATAAAATCGACATATTCTTTTTCTGCAAAAGATGAGCATTTGCAAATTGATCTCCAAAGAGAGGTAATCCGATTGTAGGAATACCGAAGTGGAGTGCCTCTAATGTAGATAATAATCCACCGTGTGTTATAAATAATCGAGTATTATTGTGACCTGAAAATTCAAAATTTTCCATTTTATTCATTTTTTATTTTCTCCACTAATCAAATTCGATAAATTAAATATTAAAATTCTTATAATTTTCGATCAATTAAAATTCATAGAATATTCGATATAAATTAAAATTTCTGCACAATTTTCGATAAATTAAAATTTATACATTTTTCGATAAATTAAAATTCAGAGAATTTTCAATAATTTTAATATAGTTTAAAAACGAAATTTAATTATTTACTAAAATATATGAGTAATTTATTTAAAAAGAAAAAAAGTTGATTGAAAATAAATTTATAATGGATTAATTTTTCTTCAAGTAAAATATTTTTTTTATGGAAAAATAATTATAGAGGGAATAAAATTATTTTTACATACCCATCAATTGATATTGAGGTAACCAAGTAGAAATGCGAACGTTGCTCGGAAGTCCTGGTGGTAATTTTTCCTCGTTGACAATTTTCATTAAAACTCTGATGGGCGCTATTTTTTCAAAAGCTGCGTAAAATGCGAAAAGAGTTTCCCTTGGAAGTGTTTCTAATAGAACCATTGATCCCAATGTAAAAATTACAACGCCATTTTTGCTTTCGTCCATCCATTCTTGAAAGTCCTTGGATTTTTTTTTTTTTTTGAAAAACAGACATTTTTATTAATTTTAAAAAGATTTAGTTTTTTTTTAACAAACTTTATAATAATTTTTCACGAATTTATTTTACTAATTCCTCTCTGTTTTTTTTTTTACTAATTTTCCCAATTTTGATTTTTGGCATTTTATTAGACAATTTTTATTCTGTAAAAATTTCTCATAGCCAATTTGGTCCGTTTTTGGGAAAAAGATGAAAATTGGAGATTTTTTCTAAAAATCAAACTATTTTTTTCCTATTCTGTATCACTAATTGAATAATTCATTAATACATTATTTTGAAATTTAGCGTGGTCTTCATAAAGTATTTTGACATTTTTAATAATTCCAAAAAGATTTACTATTTTATTAAGAAAAAAATGATTTTTAATAAGTTTAAATTTTTGTCACTTTAAACAAGTTTAGAAAAGTAGAATTGAAATTGAAAATTAAAATTGACATTGAAAATTCGTATTACAAAATTGAAAAATAGAATTAAAATTGAAAATTCGAATTCAGATTAAAAATTAGTATTGAAAATTAAAATTAAAATTGAAAATTAGAATTGATATTGAAGACAAGAATTGAAATTAAAAATTAGAGTTAAAATTAACAATTAGAATTGAAATTGAAAATTGAAGTTAAAATTGAAAATTAGAATTGAGATTGAAAATAAGAATTGAGATTAAAAATTCGAATTGAAAATAATAATTGAGATTGTAAATAAGAATTAAAATTGAAAATTAAAATTAAGATTGAAAATTTGAATTGAAATTGAAAAATTGATATTTAATAATCGAATTAAAAATAAGAATTGAAATATAAAATTCCATTTAAAAATAAGAATTGAAATTGAAAATTAGAATTAAGATTAAAAATTAGAATTGAAATTGAAAATTAAATTTAAAATTGGAAATTTGAATTGAGATTGAAGATTAGATTTGAAATTGAAAATTAGAATTGGGATAGAAAATTAATATTAAAATTGAAAATGAAAATTAGAATTAAGATTAAAAATTATAAAATTAAGATTAAAAATTCGAATTGAAATTGAAAATAGGAATTGAGATTAAAAATTAGAATAGAAATTGAAAATTAGAATAGAAATTGAAAATTAGAATTGAAATTGAAAATTCGAATTGAAAATATGAATTAAGATTAAAGATTTGAATTGAAATTGAAAATAAGAATTGAAATTTAAAATTCGTCTTGAAATTAAAAAATTAGAATTGAAATTAAAAATTAAAATTGAAATTGAAAATTAGAACTAAAATTGAAAATTGAAATTAAAATCGAAAATTGAAATCGAAAATTAGAATTGAGATTGAAAATTAGAATTAAAATCCTGATAAAAAAATACTATCGAATTAAAAAAAAGTAAATTAAAATTTATCATTTGAAAACCAAAACTTACAGACGACAATTCGGTCTCGGAATTTTCCAAATGAATTCCAGCGATTTCAATTACAGCTGGTGTTTTACTTCTTATACCATGTAAACTGTAAAATGTATTGAAGAATGAGAGTGAAATGCTTCCCTCCACCTGTCTTATATTTGGCATATTAGGATCCAAGTATTTTCTCATCGCTTTCGTTTGCGCATCTTCGGTAAACATATAAAAATCATATCTACTTCGATGTATTTGAATAACGTTCACCAATCGATTCCAAAATGTGGAAATTTCCGTTAAATTACTCAATATATTTGGAAAAAATGCCGCCGAATGTGGATTTCCAAGTATATCATTAGACCACGAAATTTCCATTAATGACGATATCGTGATAACCGGCACTTTCAAAACATGTCCAATTCCAATGAAGCATGAGGCGCAAAACATCTGCAAATTAAAAAATTTCATTTTATTAAATATTTATTATATATTAATATTAATATTAATATATTAATATTAATATTAAATATTTTATTAATTTTCATCATTAATTTTTGAAATTAATTTTTAATTAAAAGGAAAACCGCTGCAAAGTTAAAGGTGAAATTTTTGTTTTTATTTTTTTATATAAACAATCAAATAAATGTTTATTATTTGTAATAGATCATTTTTATTTTAATCAGCTAAATGAAATTTAGCTTAATTTTCAATAAATACTGAAATTTTCGATTCAAATACAATTTATTTGATTTAAGTAAATATTTATTTGAATAAAATAATTTTTATTTAAGACAAATTATATGATATTTACTTCAATTACTTAAAACACTGATTAAAATACAATTTATTTGATTTAAATACAAATTATTTGAATCAAGTAAATATTTATTTGTATCAAGTAATTTTCATTTGTATCAAATCATTTTTATTTGTATTAAATAATTTTTATTTAAAACAATTAATTAATATTTTCGTCAGTTAATAAAATTACTGATTCAAATAAAATTTATTTAAGACAATTAAATAATATTAACTTAAAATACTGAAATTATTGGTGCAAATAAAATTTGTTGATTTGAATAAAAATTGTTTAATTCAAGTAAATATTTATTTGTATCAAGAAAATAAATAAAAGAAAAAAAAATGAAAAGAAATAAATAAAAAAAATTAAAATAAAAAAAATAATAAAAAAATAATTTTGAAAAATTAACCTCAGTTATAAGAAGATCATAAGGCGGATCCTGCGGTGGATTCTTGATTAAATTTTGCAACTCTGGCAGACCCAGCAATTCACAAAGTTGATTTCCATGTAACAGGGAGAAAGTCTTTATTATCGATTCTTGTAGTACATTAACATTATCAAATGAAAAATGATTTATTATTCTTTTTCTCGTTCCATCTAAATTGATAATTGTTTTGTAATTTTTTGGTGGATTTTCCAATTTGTAATGTGTAACAACATCCACTTGATGTCCATTGAGAGCCAATGCTTTTGTCACTCCCTCGAAAAAATAATTGTGACTTCGTGAATTAAAAGGAAACACTGCCAAAATTCGATAGCCATTAATTCCAATCAATGGCTCTATAAACACTGAGTAGAAAATTATGAAAACAGAAGGAAAATTCATTTTAAAAAATTTTTTCGAACTTTTAATTTAGACGGATTAACACTGGACTATAAATACGACATTACAATAATAACAATAGCAGAAAATTGAATTTTTAATTCATTTTTTAATTCAATTTATTATTTATTTATTTTATTTTTAAATCTTTTTTTAATTCAATTTTAATTCATTTTGAATTTAATTTAATTAATTTTTAACTTAATTTTAATTAATTCATTTTTGAAAATTGTTTAAAAAGATTAGTTTAGTTTATTTTAGTTTAATTTAGAGTGACATGGCACTATGACAATAAATACGACATTCTATTAAATAAGTTCTATCGTTACTGATTAATTTTCTTATTTGCCTAAAATTTTCCACTCCTTTGGATTTTGAAAATAGTATTTGTGACACGCTTAGTATGGAAGTTTTCTTTCAAATACTATTTATTTCAATTATAACGTAAATTATCAATTGCTTTCTTTCTCAAAACGACTTTGTACCTGTTTTGTAAACAATTAGATAATTTCCAAATAAATATTTTTCCTGATAAAATTAAATTTAATTAAATTGAATTAACATACATTTTAAAAGTTTTTAATTTTTTTATGAATTAATAATAGTTAAAATAAAAAAATTGTAATGAATGTAAATTATAAATATAAAAGAAATAGGTATAAAAGAAATATTAACACGTGAAATGTAGAAATAAAAAATTTATAATTAATTAATTAATAACAAATTAGAAATTAAAAAATAAAAACTGAAAAAATTTAGTTAATATTCAAATAACCGATTACTTGTCTGTTGTCTAATAAATATTTATTTCAATCAAATAATTTTTATTTGAATCTGGTATTTGCCTGAAATACTGAAATTGATGGTTCAATTATTATTATTTAATTACTTACTTGATTTTTTTTATTTAAATAAAAATAATTTGATTCAAGTAAATATTTATTTAATAATAGATAAGCAATCTGTTACTTTTTTCTTCAACAATAAATTGAAGGAATATAGAATACATTTTTTCTGAATTTAACACTAAAGGAATTAAAAATAAAAATTTGAAAATTATTTGATAAATTATTTATTCTTTATTTTACATTCTTATTTATAGTTCTTTGTTGAACTTTTAATTCTTTATCTTATTTACAATCTCTGTCGATGATAGTCAAACTATTTTCATTAATAACTAAATAATTATTTTAATTTTATAATCTTTAATTTTATACAATATCTGTCGATGATAGTCAAACTATTTTGATTAATAACTAAATAATTATTTTAATTTTATAAATTTTGTCTATATTTACAAATTACTTGAATATTTTATTATCTATTTTTATACTTCATATTCACTATACATTGAATTTCAGTCAATTTTAGCTATTCTAATTTTATAGATTTTGTCATTAATTGGTGAAACAATTTAAAAATTAAACGCATAGTAATTATAAAAGTCACAATTAGTAGTGTTGCAATTATTAAAAAGCAAAGCGCTATAAATCCATAAACATCGAGTAATTCATTTTCCCACCATTGTAAATCGACTGATGGTGATCTTAAAACATTTGGTCCATTTCGAATTATGTATTCAACCCAATAATTGACAGTTTGACTCGGTGTAAATGGCCTGTCGCGAAATAATTTTGATTCACGTTTCGCTGACTCCCTGTAAAAAATTTTATCATTATTTTTTCTTTTTGTTTTAAGGAAAATTTTAAGAACCAATAAATACTTTCTTTCTTAAAATATTGTTTTCACATTTATTTTTAGTTTCTATTTTATTTAAAAGTTTTGTTCAAATACAATTTTTTGATTTGAATAAAAATTTATTGAATCTAAGTTAATATTTATTTGTATTAAATAATTTCTATTTGTATCAAATAATTTCTATATTTGTATTAAATAATTTTTATTTGTATTAAATAATTTCTATTTAAGACAACTCGCAGTGATATTTACCTCAAATGCCGAAATTATTGGTTCAAATAATAAAATTTATTTGATTTAAATAAAAATTATTTGATTTAATGACAAATATTTATTTGTTAATAGATAAAATAATCAATTATACTTTTTTTATAATTTAAATATTTGTTTTATAATAGATTTAATTATTTATTTATCTATTAACGGGAAAAACCATTAAAGTAAATAATTATGGTTATTTCTTATTTCAATCAAATAAATTTTTTTTTCTCTATAAAAATAAAATTACCTGTAAATGGGATCGAATAAAACAGAATTCAAAGCTTTTGTCAACTTCTCCTCCGTTATTGTTTTATAGTCAATTATGATGGACATATTTTTTTTCACCAAAAGATTAACATTTGCAAACTGATCTCCAAATAGGGGAAATCCAATTGTTGGAATGCCACGATTAATTACCTCCAAACTTGTTAATAGTCCTCCGTGCGTCATAAATAATATTGTATTATTGTGTTCTGAAAATTAATTCATTTCAATACAATTTACCATAATTTAATAGCTTAATTAATTGTATTTCAATTGGGAAATTAGATTTTTGTTAGATTTTAATAAAAAAATGTAGGTCAAATTTTTCTTTTATATGATAGGAAAAAATGTTGTTAATATATAAATCAATTTAAAATTAATAAAAATTGAGAAATTTTTTGATTGTGAATAAATTATTTTCTCTTACGTATCAATTGATATTGAGGTAACCAAGTAGAAATGCGAACGTTGGCAGGAAGTCCAGGTGGTAATTTTTCCTTGTTGACAATTTTCATTAAAACTCTGATGGGCGCTATTTTTTCGAAAGCTGCATAAAATGCCAAAATTGTTTCCTTTGGTAACGATTCGATTAGTGCCATTGATCCCAATGTAAAAATTACAACGCCATTTTTGCTTTCGTCCATCCATTCTTTAAAGTCCTTGAATTTGAAAAATTTTTTTAATTATTTTCTGTATTTCAATTATTTTCAAAAAAAAATTTTAATTACGATTTTTTAAGAACCTTATAGTTTTTCATAATTTCTAAATATAAAATTTATCAAATTTAAGTAACTTCTGTTTGATAAATATTTTAATACTTTACTAAAGTTTTTGAAAATAATTGAAGAAAATTAGCCAATTTTATTTGTAAAATAGGTAAAGATCCTTAAAGTTTTGAATTAAATTTTTGTTTGTATAAATTATCTACTTTTAAAATTGAATTCTCTTTGAATTTTATTTTTTTGATAGAAATTAAGAAAAAAGTAAAAAAATCTGTCTGAATATCGGGGAAAAGTCAGAGAAGAATAAATTAAAATTTTTATAGCAACCTTGTCATTAAAAATAGAAATGTCAAACTAAAAATGCTCCACTTTCTTTAGTTTTTATTGAGTTTTATTTCACTTTTATTTTGTTACTGTTTTTCATGTAAATATAATTTTAAATTTGCAATTTCTAAATTTTTTATTTTAAATTTTTGTATCTCAATGCATATAAGGAATTTTGATGAAAAAGAAAAATAAAAACTTACCGAAGGCAATTCGGTTTCGAAATTTTCAAAATGAATTCCACCAATCTGAATTACAGCTGCTGTTCTACTCTTAATACCATGTAAAGTGTAAAATGAGTTGAAGAATGTTAGTGCAGTGTCTCTTTCCACCTGTCTTATGTCCGGCATATTAGGATCCAAATATTTTCTCATCGCTTTTGTCTGTGCATCTCCGCTGTACTTGTAAAACATATGTCTGGTTTTATGCATTTGAATCGTGTTCTCCAATCGATTCCAAAATGTCGAAATTCCCGTTAAATTACTCATTAAATTTGGAATAGTTGCTGCCGAATTTGGATTTCCAAGCATATCATTAAACCACGAGACTTCCATTGTTGATGAAATCGTGATTACCGGCACTTTCAAAACATGTCCAATTCCAATAAAGCATTGTGCACAAAACATCTGCAAAAAATGTAATAATTTTATTAATTTCTGTTTTAATTAATTCCTGTAATTAATCTCTTAGTAAACTAAGAGATATTAAAAAGCGTTTGCAACTTAAATTAGGACCAAATTAAATTCATCAAAAAAAAAGATTGAATTAATCCATTTTTTGATTAATTTTTCCCATGAAAAAAAATGTGTCATAAATCAATACCAAATAATTTTTAAAACATTTTCTTTTAATCAGGGTTGACAGAAGTCAGGGTAAACCTTCAATTTTTTCTATTACTGACAATAATTTCTTTTTAAATAACTTAATTCTTGAACAAATATAAAAAAATTACTACTTAGAAATTATTTAATGAATAATTTTAGATACTTAAATATTTTAAAATTAATTCAATTTTAAAAGATTTGCGTTTAAAATTTTCATAAATAGATCAACTTCAAAAGGTTTTAATTTGAAATATAAATCTTCAATTTTCAATAAATTTAATTAGAAATTTTAAAGGACTTAGTTTCTTGATGAATTTTAATAAAATCAAATTCTTCTCAAACTTGTTAAATTTTTAATGTTATATTTAATTAATTATTAAAAATAATTAATTTACAGAAGAATTTTAGTTAAAAACACTTTATAAAATTGAATTTTGGAAAAGTTACAAATGATTGCAGAAATTCAATTGATTTCAAAAGTAATAAAATTCTTCACAAAAATTCAATTATGTTCAAAAATTAAAAAAAAAATTCTCTTCAAAATTTCAATTATTTTCAAAAATAACAAAATATTTTCTCCGAAATTCAAATATTTACAAAAATTTTACTAAAAAATTTGGAAAAATTTCAATTATTTTCAAAAAAATTTCCTCCATTCAATGATTTCAAATATTTACTGCTTTTAAAAAATTTTTGAAATTAATTCAATTGTTTCAAAAATATTTTAATAAAATTCGACTCAAACCTTTAATTATTTTCATATAATAATAAAAATTTCACAGGAATTCAATTATGTTGAAAAATTAATAAAAATTCTCGTCAAAAGTTCAATAATTTTCAAAAATAATGTTATTTTCAAAAGTAACAAAATTATTTCTTTGAAATTCAAATATTTACCAAAATTTTACTAAAAAAACTTGGAAAAATTTCAATTATTTTCAAAAAAATTTCCTCAATTCAATGATTTTTTAATATTTACTATTTTAACAAAATTTTCCAAAAGAATTAAATTATTAAACAAAAATTTAGATAATATTTTACACGTACATTCAATTATTTTCATGAAAAATAAAACTCATCGCAGAAATTCAATTATGTTGAAAAATTTAATTAAAACTCGTCAAACTTTCAATTATCTTAAAAATAATAAATTTTTTCTTCAATTCAATGATTTTCAATATTTACTATTTTAAAAAAAAATTTTGAAATTAATTCAATTGTTTCAAAAATATTTTAATAAAATTCGACTCAAACATTTAATTATTTCCATAAATAATACAAATTTCACAGGAATTCAATTATTTATACATTTGTTCTCAAAAATTCAATTATTTTCACAAATAATAAAATTCTTAAAAATTTTATTAAAATTGGTCAAAGGAATCCAATTATTTAAAAATCTATTTATAAAATTCTTTATGAGAATTCAATTTTGAGAAACATTCAATTATTCAATAAATTATTCACTTTTGTATTTAAATAATTAAATTCGCGTAGAATTTTCTAATAAAAACTTATTCAAAAATGAATTTCAGTTAAAATTTTAGATAATAATTGAATATTAAAAGCATTATAGGGTGAATTTTTACAAATAATTTAATTTTGAAAAGGTTTTAAATTAAAATCTTTGAAATTTTTTATTTTTCATACTTTTAACTAACAATTGTGTAGAACTATAATAGTGTTAGAAAAATTTAATATAATTTTTTAAAAAAATTATTTCAAGTTTTTTATTTTTTAAATATTTAATTGAAGGATTTCCGAATAATCGAAATTTCGTAAAATTGAGTATCTAATCATTTTGATAGTGAAACAGAATTTTCTTTAAGGTCATGAAACAAGTTAAAATTTTGTCTGAAAATCAGAGAAAAGTCAGGGAAAAAGAAAATTAAATTTTTTTGCTACCATATTCAATGAATTAAAGCTAAATCCATTTCTGTGTTAAAATAATATTTCAAAATTTGCTGTAAAGAGGAAATTTTCATTTCTTAATTGATTAGAAATTTTAAAGAAAGAAATAAAAAAAGGATGTATTACCTCAGTAATAAAAAGATCATAAGGTGGATTCTGCGGTGGATTCTTGATTAAATTTTGCAACTCTGGCAGACCCAACAATTCACAAACTTCATTTCCATATTTCTCAACTACTTCCCTAAATTGATCATCAATTGGATCCTCATTAATTTGAATTGTAAAATTATTCACTAAATTATCTCTGGTTCCTTCTAAATTGATAATAGTATTATAATTTTTAAGTGGTTTTTTTAATTCAAAATGACTGACAACATCAATTTGATGTCCATTTCTTGCCAATGCTTTTGTCACCCCTTCAAAAACGTTATTGTGACTTCTTGCATTGTACGGAAATATTGCTAAAATTCGATAACCATTAATTCCATTTAATTCTATAAGAAATGAGTAGAAAACAATAAAGAAGGAAAGAAAATTCATTTTTAAAAATTATTTAATAAAATTTAGTTAATTTAATTTGTACGGACTAATAACAGTGAAGACAAGCAGAACATTCTATCAACCAAGTTCTAATATTACTGATGATTTTTTTTATCTACATAAAATTTACCACCTCTTCGAATTTTCAAATTTTCATGACTAAATATATCCACGTGTAATTATTCTTGGGGAATTTTATTTGATTATAATTAAAGTCAATTGTTTTCGATTTCTAAAAGACGCTCCCTACCCTCTCGCCTTTATACAAAAAGATAATCTTCAAATAAATGGTTCTTATTATTTAATACGTCGTATTTATGGAAGTAAACTATGTTTTTTCTTCTATAATCAGAAGTTCTTGCAAAATTCGTTAAACAAACTTTATATCTGGTTATTAGGGAAAATATAAATATAATGCCCCCGGAGAAAGTTTTTTATTTTTAAATAATAAAAATATAATTCATTTGAGTTAATAAAAAGTATATTTTTCTCAAAGGCAACTGTAGCTTATTTATTTAATTATTATTTATTTATAAAAATTATTATTTATTTATAAAAATGTTATTCGACGCAGAAAAAAATTTGAACCAACCAAAAAATTATTTGGGTCAAATAAAATTTTATATAAACCAAATAACATTGATTTGAAACAAATAAAATGTTTAATTGGCTATTGAGTCAATATCGGAGAATTGTGATAATATGTATTGTTAGTTTTTCATTTCTTATCAGTTTTTCCTAAAATGTGCTTCTACTGAAGAAATAAGAGTAATTATATAATTAACCTACTTTTAATTATAAAAAAATACTGGAAATTATTTTTAAAAAAACATAATAAATCTGTGTTTGAAAAAAAAACATCGAAATAATTAATAATTAAATTTTCAATATTTAAAAAAAATGAATAACGTTTTCGAGAATATTTTACAATATTAGTCAAAAATAATGAATTTCGACAAATTTTTTAATAATGAGAATTTAAAAAAAAAATTATAAAAAACTCTTGAAAATATGCATATGCTATGAAAATATAAATATTCTCTATGAGAAAGCAATTATTGATTCAAATACAATTTTTTATTTGAATAAAAGTTATTTGATTCAAGTAAATATTTATTTATATCAAGTAATTTTTATTTGTAACGAATTCAATTTATTTGTGTTAAATAATTTTTAATTCTATCAAATAATTTTTATTTGAGTTAATTAAATGATATTTACTAGAAAGACTGAAAATTGGTTTCAAATCAAATTTATTAGATTTAAATAAAAATTATTTGACAAATAGATTATAAATGAAAATTATTTATAAAAATAAAAAGAAAAAAGAAATTTTGATAATAGAAAAGATTGAATTTATTTGAATCAAAGTAACTATTTTTTTTTCTTGTAAAAAATAAAATTACCTGTAAATGAGATCATGTAGAACAGAATTCAAAGCTTTGCTTAAAGATTCTTCCGTTAATGAACCATAATTTAATGTAATCGCCATATTTTTTTTTCTCGTAAAGATGAAGATTTTTTAATTGATCTCCAAAGAGGGGAAATCTGATCAATATAGTATGCTATGATAAAGTGCCTCCACCGTCGATAACTGTCCACTGTGTGTCATAAATAATAATCGAGTATTATTGTGCCCTGCAATAAATTTTGAGTTACAATATCAAAACCATAACTTAATCGATTTCATTAAAATTTCAGAATTATGCATGTACATTAAACCGTGTTTCAATTTAGCATTTTTTTTTTTTTATAAATGAATAAACATTAAATTATTCAACACTTATGAAAAATTGAAATTTGAGGAATCCATTCAAAAACACGAACATTGGTGGGAACTCCCGGTGGTAATTTTTTCTTATTGGCAATTTTTATTAAAACTCTAACCAGGAGCTATTTTTTCAAAAGCTGCGTAAAATGCAAAAATTGTTTCATTTGGTAACGATTCGATTAGTGCCATTGACCCACATGTGAAATAAAAAAACAACGCCATTTTTACTCTCGTCCATTCATTCTTTAAAGTCCTTGAATTTAAAAAATTTTAATTACAATTTTTTAAGAAAATAATTTTGATCATTTTAGGCAATATTTTCACGACAAATATTGGTTTTTTTAAAATCTTTTTATATTCTGAAAACGATGTTTGTTTCTAACATTTAGAGAGAAAATTAAATGACGGATGTTTATTATCAAACATTTCATTTATATTTAGAATTTATATTTTTCTACAATAATCTAGGCAAATAATAATGAAACAATTTCTCAAGTAACATCATCTTCAGATTTTGTGATTGTGAAATTTGAAAAATTTCATTTAGGATAAGAGACTCGTGAATATTATTCATAAAAAATTATTTGTCATGAAAACATTTAACATAAATTTCATTGGAAATAAAACTCATTTTTGTCATAATTCTCCTTTCTTGTAAAAATCAATTGACATCATAAATTTTATTTAATGTGAAATAAATTTGACATAAATTTCAATTGACTTAAAATTCATTTGTCATAAATTTCAAAATAACACTTGAATGAAAACATTTTTAAATTAATGTTTAAAGCGTATATTCAAATTCTATTAATTATATTTACTTCCTCATAGAGGAAGTATTGTAATACAGAAATTTTTCGAGTTCCATTTTTTGACATATCTTTATGTTATTTGACCTCAGTGTGTAAACATCACATTTACATAAATATCTCGAAATCATGAAGAGCTTTTGGGTTGAATTTTTTTTTAAATTGTAGATCTCATCTGCGGACATAAAATGAGAGTACTTTGAGATAGATTAATAAAGTTTAACTATTTTTTTTTTTGGATTTTTAATTTTGCAAAAAAAACGTTTTTTGCCCATAACTTTAAAAAAATGTTAGGACACCTATAAATGTTTTTCCATAATTTTGTAGAGTTTTTTTAGACGCATCTTTTGAGCCCTAATTGAACATTTTTCGTCCATATTAACCGGAGATATTAAACTTTTAAAAATTCAAAATTTTGGAAAATAAGACTTTTTTGAAAATTTTGTTTAAAAAATGAAGAAGTAATCTTAAAATTATCGTAACCGACTTGTAGAGCTTCAAAAAACGCTTCGATTGACCTATTTTTGAACCTAATTCGATAATAAATTTCGAAATTATTGGTATTTTAAAAACCAAAAATTGTGGAAAATGACATTTTCTCAACTTTTTTGTTTGAAAACTTTTGTTTAACTATTAAACTATTATAACTATATTGTAGAGTATTTAAAAATACATTGATTGACCCAAGATTCAATAATTCTCATAAATTAAAGTGTCAAACGCTTTAATTCATTAAGAAATGAAAAAAAAACAAAAAGTATTTATTATTTTCTTTTACAGACAATTATTAATTAAAGTATAAAAATTATAAAATCAATAAATAAAAATTTCGTGAATAATTATCCGTTAAAAGTTCTTAAAATTTTTTTTTCAAATGCAAAAGAAAATAAAATTGAAGATAACAATTGTAAATGCGTAATTAAATTATAAATAGTAATTATCCTACCTATTGTTTAGTTTTATTTTTGTGAATCTAAATTATTTTTAAGCTCTTTTAATAAAACTTTTGCTGCTTAGAGTCATGATTATTATTGACACAATTATTAAAAAGCAAATTACGGAACAAATAAAAATTAATAATAGAAAGAAAATTTATTTCGAAAATAAAAGAGTGACATTGATAAAGTATTTTTCAGGCAGTATTAACTTCAAAATTTCCTACTCTTCATTATTTTTGAAATTGTTTGGTGTTTATTCTAGTGTTTTTCTTTTCAAGAACGTCAATTAATCTAAAATTAAAAATATAACAGAACAGGGGAAAATTATTTTCATTATTTTAGGATATTTTATTACGACAAATATTGGTTTTTTTTTAAGTTTTTTATTTTGAAAATGATGTTTGTTTGTAACATTTAAGGAGAAAATTAAATAACGGATGTTTATTATCAAACATTTTATTTATATTTAGAATTTATATTTTTCTACAATAATCTATAGGCAAATAATAATGAAACAATTTCTCAAGTAACATCATCTTTATATTTCGTAATTAAGAAATTTGAAAAATTCGATTTAGGATAAGAGACTCGTGAATATTATTCATAAAAAATTATTTGTCATGAAAACATTTAACATAAATTTCATTAGAAACAAAACTCATTTGTCATAACTCTCCTTAATTTAACATAACTAAAGTTCAATTGACTTAAAATTCATTTGTAATAAATTTCATTTGACATAAATTTTCAGGATTGCTATACAGGTCAGGAAAATCAGGGAATTATGGGAAAAGTTCAAAGCAGTAAATTTTGATAAATAATATAATTCACAAGAATTCAATTATTTAAAAACATTTTTATTAAATTCTTTCCGAAAATAATTGAATACTTGACAACAATTTTATTCAGATTTTTCAAAATAATTGAATTCTGCAAAGATTTTTATTATTTAACGAAAATTTTATTAAAATTTCTGAATGTAATTGAATACCTGCAAAAAACATTGTTATTTTTAATTTATGCCAAGAATTTTATTAAAATTTTTGAAAATAATTTAATTTTTCATAGGAATTAATTTATTTGAAGTAAAGTTAATTATGTCAAATGAATTTTATGTTAAATGAGACTTATGAAATTTATATCAAATGATTTTCATGTCAAGTGACAATTGTGTCTAATGAAGATAGAATTTTATGTCAAATGAACTTTATTTAAAATAAAAAATTATGTCAAATATTATTTATTTCAAATGAATTTTATGTCAAATGAAATTTATATCAAATGAATGTAATGTAATATTAGAATTATATTAAATGAATTTCATATCAAATGAAAATTATGTCAAATAATTTTTATGTGAAACGAATTTTATGTAAAATGAGATAATGAGAATTGTGTTGAATGAGTTTTATGTCCATTGATATTTATGACAAATAAATTTGAAATGCAGTAATTCTGAAAAAGATTTTTGTATCTAATAGTTAGAGAGGAAATTAATTGTAAGATTTTTTTTATTTTGTTTTCTTGAAATCAGGTGATGATAAATACTTAAATGTCTATTTTTGTAGAATTATCAGTTCAGGAAGTAAAAGAACGAATATAAAAGTTATTTTAAAAAATTTATTTACATTTTTCTGAATTTACCCAGGCTAAACAGTAATTAAACATTTTTTCAATTTACATCATGTTAAAATTTCATTAAAAAATTGTCAATTTTCAAAATTTAAAACCAAAAGATCGAATATTTCAATCTTGACCTTAAAAGTACAGTTTTATAATTTAATTTCTATTTCTACTTTGTACAATTTTATTTGCGTTGAATAATTTCTTTTATACTAATTAACGAATTGTCATAAATATTAAAAAGTGTCAAACGCTATAAAAAGTATTTATTATTTTCTTTCATAGACAATTATTATTTAAAGCATAAAAATTTTAAAATTTAAATATAGAAATTTAGGGAGTTATATTGTCCGTTAAAAATTATTAAAAATTAAAAAAAAAATTAAAATAGAATAAAAGGAGAAGATAAAAATTGTAAATGAATAAGTTAATTATAAATAGTAATTATCCTACCTATTATTTTATTTCTGTGAATCTAAATTATTTTTAATCTTTTTTAAAACTTTTGCTGCTTTTTGTATTCGAAGGTACGGAAAGTTCTAAAACTTGATTCACGATAAATATTAGAGTCTTAATTATTATTGCCAGAATTATTAAAAAGCAAAGCGCTAAAAATCCGTAAACATCGAGGAGCTCATCTTGCCACCAATACAAATCGGCTGCAGGTGATCTTAACACATTTGGTCCATTTCGAATTACATATTCTACCCAAAAATTGACAGTTTGACTCGCTGTCAATGGTCTGTCGCGAAATAGTTGAGATTCACGTTTTGCCGATTCTCTGTAACAAAATGTTTGGAGTTATTTAAATTTTTTTTCACATTTAAAAATTTTCTTTCCTAATTTTTCTTCTTCATCAAATTTGTATTGAAAACAAAATTATTCTGTATATTTATTTTAGTTTATTATTTAATATTTAGTTAGTTATTATAATACTTTTTTTATTTAATTCAGTATATTTTTGACGTGCGCTAGAGATAGGAACCTATGAAGCAAAGAATTTTAAAGTTATGTTTGTCTTATTTTTGCCTGAATTAAAAGTTTCTTTGTTCAATTTAATACTAAAAAAAGGGCTTTTATTAATTATTTTCGATGTGCTAAAGAATTTAGCGAAAGAAGGTTTATATTGAGAGCGATCCTCTTTGTGTATTATCATTCGAAAAATTACAAACATAACCTAAAATTTTTTTGTTTCTTAAGTTTCCTTGGATCATTTGCTATAAAATTACCTGTAAATAGGATCATGTATGACAGCATTCAAAGCTTTAGTCAACAACTCTTCTGTTACTGTTTTGTAATCCATCAAAATTGCAGTATTTTTTTTCACCAAAAGATGAACATTAGGGAACTGATCAGCGAACAGCGGAAATCCAATCATAGGAACGTTATGATAAAGTGATTCTGTAGTCGACAGAGGACCTCCATGTGTCATAAATACTCGCGTATTATTGTGTCCTGAATGACAATAAAAAATTTTAATTATTTACAAAAAATTTTTTTATTTATTGCAAGATTTCAATTATTTTCAATTAAAACCAAATAAAATTTTATTTAAATCAAATAAAAAGCAAGGCTCGAACTAGGTCCGTAAATCCCATAAAAGTTCGTAACTTTGCTTGAAATCCGTGAAAGTCCGTTTTTTTAAAAAAAGGTCCATAATAATTTGATTGGAAAAGGATGAAAAGTTCGTAATTTGTACGATACAATTTGGATAATTTTAGAAAAATTAAAAATGATTACAGAAATTCAATTCTTTTTAAAATTAATAAAATTCTTCGCACAAATAAAATTATGTTTAAAAATTTTTTTAAATTCTCGTCAAAATTTTTATTATCTTTAGAAATAATTACATTCTTCTCCAAAATTCAATTAATTTTAAAAATTTTAATAAAACTGTTGGCAAAATTTCAATTATTTTCAAACATTTTCCTCAATTTAACGATTTTTAATAGGTCTCTACTAGTCTTATAAAATTTTCCAAAAGAATTAAATTATTTTTAAAAAATTTAATAAATTTCAACGTAAACTTTTAATTATTTTCAAAAAATAGTAAAAATTTCACAGGGCTTTCATTATTTACTAAATTTTTTTTTATAAATTTTTTCGCAATAATTGAATTATTTCCATAAATAATAAAGTTTTTACGGGGATTCAATTATTTTCGTAAATAATAAAATTTATTTTAGGAATCTTTTTTAAAAATAATAGGTTTACAGAAGACGTTTGATAAAAAAACACGACAAAAATTAAATTTTGGAAAAGTTACAAATTATTGCAGAAATTCAATTATTTTCACAAATAATAAAACTCATCGCAGAATTTCAATTATTTTTAATACAATTTTAATCGAATTCCTCGAAAAATGAAATTATTCTCAAAAATTTTATTAAAATTCGTCAAAAAAATTCAGTTATTTAAAAATTTTTAGATAAAATTCTTTATGAGAATTCAATATTTTAATAAACATGCAATTATACAATAAATTGTTATTTTTGTATATTTAAATAATTGAATTTTAGTAGAATTTTCTCATATAAAAATTTATTTAAAAATGGATTTCGCAGTTAAAATTATAGATTATAATTGAATATTAAAAGTAGTATAGCGTGAATTTTTAGAAATAATTGAATTTTAAAAAGGTTTTAAATTAAAAGTTTTGAAAATCTGAATTTTTCCTACTATTAACTACCAATTGTGAAGAATTAATTTGTTTGAAAAAGTTTAATTGAATTTTTTTTTAAATTATTTGTATCATTTTATTTTTTAATACATATATTTTAATTGAAGAATTTCCGAATAATCGTAATATCGTAAAATTGAATTATAAACAAAACGAATTTGAAAATTTTAAAGGAAATTTTGCCAAAAATGATTACAAATAATTGATAATTGAATTCTTTCGAAGAATTATAATAAAATTTTTGAAAATAATTACATTTTTCGAAGAATTTATTTAAAATTGTATTAAAAATAATTTAAATTCTGTGAAGAATTTTATTATTTAGGAGAGAATAATTGAATTATTTCAACGAATTTTTATTAGATTTTTTTTTAAATAATTGAAATCTTGTGAAGAATATTATTATTTATGAAAATAATTGAATTCTTGCAACGAGTTTTATTAAAATTTTTTTTAAATAATTAAAATCCTGTAAAGAATGTTATTCTTCATGAAAATAATTGAATTCCTACAAAGAATTATACTTATTAAATTTTTTAAATAATTGAATTTTTTGAGAAACTTTGTTAAAATAGTACATTTTGAAGATGTTTAGTTAAAAACACCAATTAAAAAATTCAATTTTTTGTAACTTACAAATTATTGCAGAAATTCAATTATTTTCAAAAGTATATTAAATATTGTTTAAAACTAATAAAATTTTTCTTAGGGATTCAATTATTTTCACAAATAATAAAACTCAATAATAAATTCAATTATTTGAAAATTTATTGATAAAATTCTTTATGGTAATTGAATTTTAAGAAATATTCAATTATTTAATCAAAATTTTATTTTTGTATTTAAAATAATTAATAATAATTAATTAATGAAAATTAATTAAAAATGAGTTTCAGTTCAAATGTCAGATAATAATTGAATATTAAATGCAATATAGCGTGAATTTTTAAAAATAATTGAATTTTGAAATTAATTTCTTTGAAAAAGTTTAATAGAATTTTTTTTTAAATATTATTTTAAGTTTTTATGTTCTAATATTTATTTAATTGAAGAATTTACGAATATTTGAAATTTCATAAAATTAAATATTGTAAACAAATGGATTTGAAAATTGTCGAAGAACTTTTTCGAAAATTATTAAAAATAATCGATTTAAAGAAGAATTTTAGTTAAAAATTCTTGAAAATAATAATTGAATTGTAAATGATTTTGTCACTCGGTCATTTTTAATTATTATAATAGATTTTTATTAGAATGCGATTTTTTTTCAAGAAAAAAAAGTTGAAAGAAGAAGAGAGATTTAGTAAAAGAATTTAATAGTTTAACACTCACGTAGAATGGGAATTTGAGGAACCCAATTGGAAGTAAGAACGTTGCTGGGAAGTCCAGGTGGTAGTTTTTCCTTATTCGCGACCTTCATTAGAACCCTCATTGGCGCTAATTTTTCAAAAGCCGCATAAATTGACAAAATTGTTTCCTTTGGAAGTGTTTCTATCAAAACCATCGATCCTAAAGTGAAATAAATAACACCATGGCTACTTTCGTCCATCCATTTTTGTAGGTCCTTTTAAAAGCATAAGGGAATTTTTAAAGAGAGTAAATTAAATTGGTAACAAATTTTTTTTTTATAGAACAAAAAGAAATTATAAAATTCAATTTAGAGTTGTTTGAAAAATGAATCTCGACTTACAGGAGCTAATTGTTTATCGTCTTGCTCGATGTGAATTCCGCCAATGTCAATTGCCGCTGGTGTTTTACTTTTCACGCCATTATAAGTGTAAAATGAATTTATAAATGTGAGAGCAACGGTTTTCTCCAATTCTCGTACATCCGGTGTATTGGGATCCAAATATTTTCTCATAGCTTCCGTTTGAGCTTTTCCTGTATACTTGTAGAATTCATATTTCGTCTGATGTAATTTAATAACATTTTTCAAACGTTCCCAAAATGTTGTAATTTCAGATAAATCCATGTAGGCATTCGCAACATATGCTAAGGAATTAGGATTTCCAAGTGCTTCGTTGTACCACGGCAATTCCATTGTTGACGATATTGTAATCACTGGTATTTTAAAAAGATGCCCTATTCCAATGAAGCATGGTGATGTCCATGCCTAAAAATTTTCCCAAAAATTCTTCAATTTTATCAAAATTTTCGAAAAAGAAATTAAATTCTTTTCAGAATTTTCTTTAATTTTCTTAATAAAATCGACTTTGTTAATAAATTTAATTAATAATTAAATTTTAATAATTTAAAATTTTAATTTAAATAATCGATTTTTGTTTCTTCTTATTTAGAGAGAAAATTAATTGTCACAAATGTTTACTTTCTATTTTCTAATGTTTTCTTGAATCGTGTATTGATGACAAGCAAAAATTCAAATATTTCCATAAATAATAAAATCTTAACAAGAATTCAATTATTTTAAATACAATTTTCATAAAATTTTTCTCAAAGAAATTAACTAGTTAAAACATTTTTATAAAATTCTTCTTTTAATACGATTCTTCGCAAGATTTCAATTATTTTTAATACAATTTTAAAGGAATTTCACGAAAATTTCAATTATTCTTAAAAATTTTATTAAAATTCTATGAAATATTTCATTTATTTTCAAAAATTGTAATAAAAATTCAATTATTTTCAAAAACTTAAAAAAATTCTTTATATGAATTTAATTTTCTCTCAATAATTTTAATAAAATTTAATAATAAAATTATTAATTCAATATATTAACAAAATCGATTATATTAAAAAATTTAATGAAATCCTGAGAAAAATTTTTTTATTTTCAGAAAATTTTAATAAAACTCAATAATTAAATGTTTAATTACAATTATTAACAAACATGATTATTTTAAAAACTTAAAAGAAATTCTTCATAAAATTCAATTACTTTTTAAATTTTCAATTAAAATTTAAAAAAAAAAAAACTCGATTTGTAAATTTAATTCCTGGAAATAATTTAATCACTTTCAAAATTTTTAATAAAAAAATACTTGAAAAAAATTTAATTATTTTCAATATTTTCAAATTTCAATAAAATTCTTCTGGGGAACTTATTGATTTTCACAAATAATATAATTTTTCACAAAAATTCAATGATATAAATTTTTTTTTATAATATTCTTAGCAAAAATTTATTTGTTTTCGTAATTATTAATATAATTATAACACTTTAGTCAATTTTGTGAAATAAAAATTACTAATTATGCTTAAAAACTATCATTAGTATGATTCTTTTAGATTCAAATTTAAATTCAAAATGTTTAAAAATTCATTGAAAGAATACAATTATTTTTATAAATAATAAAATTCTTCGCAGGATTTTAATTATTTTAAATTTTAATACAATTTGAAATGAATTTCTCGATAATTGTAATTATTTTATAAATTTTGATTAAAATTCTTCGAAAGAATTCAGTTATTTTCAAAAATTGTAATAAACTTCTTAGAAGAATTCAATTATTTCTAAATAATATAAATAAAACTTCAATAAAAAAAATTTTTAATCACAATATTTTTTTTTTAAATATTGTGATTAAAAATTTTCATTTTTTTTCATTTTTTATATTTTTAAATGACATGATTTTCAAAAACTCAAAAAGTTCTTGAAATTTCCCCAATAATTCTTCAATTTTATCAAAATTTTCGAAAAAGAAATTAAATTCTTTTCAGAATTTTCTTTAATTTTCTTAATAAAATCGATTTTGTTAATGAATTTAATTAATAATTTTATTATTAAATTTTATTATAATTATTGATGGAAAATTAAATTATTTTCAAGAATTTCTTTAAGTATTTTGCAAATAATGTCGTTTTTGAATAAATCAAAATCATTGAATAATACAAAGAATTATAATACAGATTTACAATAATTAAAATGTTCAAAGACTTTAAATTTAAAAATCTTTTCAAATTTAATGATTTCTAAAGATTCTTACTTCTTATAGCGCTTCCAATATTCAATTATTATTGAAAATTGTATAACTGAAATTCTTTTTTAAATCAATTATTTTTAGAAATTTCTATGAAAATTCAAGTATTTAATTAAATAATTGAATAATTTTAATTTAAGTAAAATAAATAATTTCCTACTTGAATAATTAATTTTTTTTTAAATTAAATTGAATGCTTTGGAGGATTTTTCAAGAAATTCATTCAATTCAAGAAATTCCTTCAAATAATTTTAATAATTACGAAAGTAATTGAATTCATGCTACGAATTTTATAAAAAAAATTTAAATCATTGAATTCATGTGAAAAATTGTATTTATTTGTGAAAATAAATAAATTCCCTAACAGAATTTTGTTAAAATTATTGAAAATGAATTTTATGAAGAATTTTCTTTAAATTAATTTAATTATTGAATTTTATTAAAACTTTAGTAAAATAAGTGAATTTTTCTCAAAATTTCTTTAAACTTTTAAATATAATCAATTTTGTTAATAAATTAAATTTTTAATTTTTATTAATAAATTTCATTAAAATTATTTAGAGACAAATATTTATTAAAAATAAATATTATTTTATTTATTAAATTCATTTCAAGAATTTTCTAAGTTCTTGAAAATAATGTCATTTTTTAATTATTGCGATTAAACATTTTTTTTTATTGAAGTTTCATTTATATTATTTGGAAATAATTGAATTCTTCTAAGAAGTTTATTACAATTTTCTGAAAATAACTGAATTCTGTCGAAGAATTTTATTCAAAATTTATAAAATAATTGCAATTATCGAGAAATTCATTTCAAATTGTATTAAAATTTAAAATAATTAAAATCCTGTGAAGAATTTTATTATTTATAAAAATAATTGTTTTCTATCAATGAATTTTTAAACATTTTGAATTTGAATTTTTTAATTAAATTTTTTCCAAATTTTTTTCCTTTACTTTATTAGAAATAAAATTTAAATTCTCTTTTTAAAAATTAACAACAATGATGTAACTTTTTCTGTACAACAGCAAATTTTAAATTTATTTTTAAATCAATCTAATTAAGTTTAGTTTTAAATTTGACTCTTAAAGAATCATACTAATGATAGTTTTTAAGCATAATTAGTAATTTTTTTCACAAAATCGACTGAAGTGTTATAATTATATTAATAATTACGAAAACAAATAAATTTTTGCTAAGAATATTATAAAAAAAAATTTAGTTGAAAGTTTTGAAAGTTATTGAATTTTATGGAGAATTTTTTTTAAGTTTTTATAATAATCATGTTTGTTAATAATTGTAATTAAACATTTAATTATTGAATTTATTAAAATTTTCAAAAAATAACAAACTTCTTCTTAGGATTTCATTAATTCTTTAAAAAAATCGATTTTATTAATAAATTATATTAATAATTTTATTATTAACTTTTATTAAAATTATTGAGAGAAAATTAAATTCATATCAAATATTTCTAAAAGTTTTCGAAAATAATGTTTTTTAATAATCTTAATTGAAAATTGAAAATAATTGAAATTGACTATTAAATTAATTAATTTAAAAAGTTAATATTTTAAATTTTCTTTTTAAAAGTTTACAACAACGATGTAACTTTTTCTGTACGACACCAATTTTTAAACTAATTTTTAAAGCAATCTAAATAAGAAATTTAAAATTTGAATTTAAAAGAATCATATTAATAATATTTTAAAGCATAATTAGTAATTTTTTTCACAAAATCGACTGAAGTGTTATAAAATGGTATATTAATAAAATTCGGGTCAAATACGAAGGTGATGAAAACCCAGAAGGAGATTTTGATTTCAAAAATAAAGATGTCGAAAAATAAAGAAAGGGTGATAAAAATGATTAAAATTTATGATAGTAAAATATTAAAATAAAAAAAAAGGCTAGAAAAAAGAAAGAGATATTGATTAGTTGAAAAGCAGAGAAGATAGAAAAATAAGCAGTAGCTCAAGAAGAAAAATTTATTGATGTCGTAATGATAAAAATAGACAAAAATAAAAAAAGCGAATCAAAAATAAAAAAGGAAAGAAAAGGTAAAGAAGATGGTAATGATAAAGTTATAGATAAAGATAAAGAAGTTTAAAAAGAAACTGAAGACAAAACAGAAAAAAACTTTACAATTGTGAAGAGTATTCAAATCAAAAGATTTCTTCTGATTTTCTTTCAAACGAAGAAGCAATAAATAATTCAAACCTCGGTAATAAAAAGATCATAAGGTGGATCGCGTGAAGGATTTTTAACCAATTTTTTCATCTCTTCTAGGCCCATCAATTCGCAAAGTTCATTTCCATATAATTCAGAAATGGTTTTTATTATCGAACCCTGAATATAATCGGCAAATTGAACAGAAAAATTATTCACTAAATTTCCCCTCGTTCCTTCTAAATTAATAATTGTTTTATAATTTTTCGGGGGATTCTTCACTTTAAAATGCGAGACAACATCGACTTGATGTCCATTTTTCGCCAATGCTTTCGTTACACCTTCAAAAATATTATTATGACTTCGCGAATTAAACGGAAATACTGCCAAAATTCGATAACCGTCACTGCCTATTCCGTTTATTATAAAAAATGAGCAGAAAAAAATAAAAGATGAAATTAAATTCATCTTTGAAGGGAAAAATTATTAAGTTCGATTGGGCAGAGGGAGGAGAAAAAATTTATATTTGTATGATTAGAGTTGTAATGTTAAACTGATCAAGTACTTGGTATAACAAAAAATTTCTAATGAATCTTAAGTATATAAAATAGATCTCCCCACTTTTTCTTACTCGAAATAGTTATGTAGTGTGTTTACGTTATTTGATGTTTATCTTTTTCATAATGGCAATAATCTCAGAGTTATAATTATAATTACTTACTAATTTTCAATCTCATTGCCATTAAATTTAATTTCCGTTAATTTACAAATACAATAAAGCGATTGATACTTATTACGATGGTTAAAAATTACGAAGATTAAACAAGTGATTTTACCGCGATTTTAGGCTAAATCTGATAAAGAAAACTTTTGTTTTCCCTTAACAAATATTAATTTAATCGAATTTTTCATCTTTAATTTTAATGAAAATAATATTTCGATTTGAAAACTATACAATGTGAAATTGTTTCTAAAATAAGAAATTTTTTTACTTAAATGAAAATTAGGAGCATGTTTTCAAAAGCTGATAAATAGATTTTTTTAAAAAATGAAGATAAACGTAAATTTAATATCTTAAATCAACTTGTCACTATGTTAAATTTAAGGGGAAAATTTATTACCAACGAATTTCCAATTTTTCAAATTTTTTGATATAACCAAGATGACATAAATTTTGTTTTTTATTAAAAAAAAAAACAAAAATTTTAAATCGTTTAAATGAGGGGCTGATAGTAAAAATGGTTTATACTGTGAGAAAAAATACTTAATTCAAATACAAAACTAATTTTAAATGCTTTTGTTTATTTAAATTTTAAAACATTTTTATAGAAAGAAATTATTGTAAATTTTTTATTTTAAAATTAATTATTGTCGTGATTAAGTAGGAAAAGTGATATTTTTTAATTTCTCAAAATAAGAAAATATGGATTTATTAAGTTTTGAAATCTTGTTCCTAAAATATTTCATTATTTTGAAATCGATTTTTGTTTCTTCTTGTTTAGAGAGAAAATTAATTGTCGCGAATATTTACTTTCTATTTTCTAATGTTTTCTTGAATCGTGTATTGATGACAAGCAAAAATTCAAATATTTCCATAAATAATAAAATCTTAACAAGAATTCAATTATTTAAAATACAATTTTCATAAAATTTTTTTCAAAGAAATTAACTAGTTAAAACATTTTTATAAAATTCTTCTTTTAATACGATTCTTCGCAAGATTTCAATTATTTTTAATACAATTTTAAAGGAATTTCACGAAAATTTCCATTATTCTTAAAAATTTTATTAAAATTCTATGAAATATTTCATTTATTTTCAAAAATTGTAATAAAAATTCAATTATTTTCAAAAACTTAAAAAAATTCTTTATATGAATTTAATTTTCTCTAAATAATTTTAATAAAATTTACCAATAAAATTATTAATTTAATTTATTAGCAAAATCGATTATATTAAAAAAATTAAAGAAATTCTGAGAAAAAATTATTTATTTTAATAAAATATACTTCAAAAGAATGTAATTATTTTTAATAATTTTAGTAAAATTATTCTAGAGAATTTATTTATATTCACAAGTAATAAAATTTTTCACAAGAATTCAATTATTAACCATAATTAACAGACACGATAATTTTAAAAAGTTCAAATAAATTCTTCGCAAAATTAAATTATTTTCAATTTTCAATTAAGATTATTAAAAAACATTATTTTCAAAAACTTTTAGAAATACTTGATATGAATTTAATTTTCTCTCAATAATTTTAATAAAATTTAATAATAAAATTATTAATTTAATTTGTAAACAAAATCGATTATATTAAAAAATTTAATGAAGTCCTGAGAAAAATTTTTTTATTTCCAGAAAATTTTAATAAATTTCAATAATTAAATGTTTAATTACAATTATTAACAAACATGATTATTTAAAAAACTTAAAAGAAATTCTTCATAAAATTCAATTACTTTCTAAATTTTCAATTAAAATTATTTTTTAAAAAAACTCCATTTGTAAATTAAATTTCTGGAAATAATTTAATCACTTTCAAAATTTTTATTAAAAAAATACTTGAAAAAAATTTAATTATTTTCAATATTTTCAATAAAATTCTTCTGGGGAACTTATTAATTGTTTTCACAAATAATATAATTTTTCTCAAAAATTCAATGATATAAATTTTTTTTTTATAATATTGTTAGCAAAAATTTATTTGTTTTCGTAATTATTAATATAATTATAACACTTCAGTCGATTTTGTGAAAAAAATTACTAATTATGCTTAAAAACTATCATAAGTATGATTCTTTTAGATTCAAATTTAAAACTATACTTAATTAGATTGATTTAAAAATTAGTTTAAAATTTGATGTTGTACAGAAAAAGTTACATCATTATTGTTAATTTTTAAAAAGAATTTAAATTTTATTTTTAATAAAATAATAGAAAAAAACCTGTTTCATTAAAAAATTCAAATTTAAATTCAAAATGTTTAAAAATTCATTGAAAGAATACAATTATTTTTATAAATAATAAAATTCTTCGCAGGATTTTAATTATTTTAAATTTTAATACAATTTGAAATGAATTTCTCGATAATTGCAATTATTTTATAAATTTTGATTAAAATTCTTCGAAAGAATTCAGTTATTTTCAAAAATTGTAATTAAAAATTTTCATTTTTTTTCATTTTTCATTTTTTTAAATAACATAATTTTCAAAAACTTAAAAAGTTCTTGAAATGAATTTAATTTTCTCTAAATAATTTTAATGAAATTTATTAATAAAAATTATAAATTTAATTTATTAACAAAATCGATTATACTCAAAAGTTTAAAGAAATTCTGAGGAGAATTAATTTATTTTCCTAAACTTTTAGCAAAATTCAATTATTAAATCTTAAATTACAATTATTAACAAACACGATTTTTTTGAAAAATTAAAAGAAATTTTTATATAAAATTCAATTACTTTCAAAATTTTCAATTACCTATAAATAATAATTAATTAATTATTTTTTAATTAATTTTTACTTATGGTTTAATTATTTTTAGAAATAGCTAATTTTGATAAGGTTTTACATGGAAATTATATAAAATTTTAATTCCCGTGGAAAAATAAATGATTATTTAAATATTTATTTAACAAAAATTATTCAAGTTTTGAATAATTTAATTTTGAAATTATAAAAAGAATTACCCTTTTGAACTTTTGAAAAGTTGTAATTGAAAATTTATGAAGATAATTAAATTTTCCCGTAAATGGTGTAAATAATTGAAAAGGTTTGAATTAAATTTTAATTAAAATGAATGTATACTTTTTGCAAAGTTGACAGTTAAACAGATTAAAGAAGGTATATAATTTTTTTAAAACAATTTATTTACATTTTTATTTACAATTTTATTTACATTTTCTATAATTATCCAGGTAAACAATAATGAAACATTTTTTCAAATGACATCATGTTAGAACTTCGTGATTGAAATATTGTAAAAATCGAATGTTTTATTTTTAATTTTGAAGATATATTAGATACAAATATGTTTATATCAGTGTTAAGTTATTTTTAATTATCTGAATAAGGAAATCACTGTGAATTTTGTTTATACAACATTAAATTATTTATCATTTTATCTTTTCAATTTTCTAACTATATATAACTTTAATATTTACTAAAAAAGTTTTCTTATGTAACAGTTAAAAATATTTCATTGAATGAAACAAAACATAATAAAACAATTTTAAAGATTTTCAAACCTCTTGACTATAAATCCATAATTTGGTAATTATAAATGGTATTTTTAAATAGTAATTATAAATAGTAATTTATAATTAGTAATTTATAATTAGTAATTTATAATTAGTATTAAAATCATCATTAGTATTAATTCAAATTATTATGATTAATTTCTAATTGCATTATAATTATAAAAACACAATTATAAACAGTAAATACGAATTTCTTATCCACAATATTTTCCTAATAATAAATAAACTTGAATTTAACTAATAATTTTAGTAATTGTCTCAATATTATAAAATTTGCAGCAAACATTAAGAACATTGTTTCAATATTTTAAAACTTGCAAAACTCTCAATCTTTTTTAATAAAACTTTTGCTGCTTTTTCCATTCGAAGATACGAAATGTTTAAAAATTTGATTCATGATGAATATTAGAGTTTTAATTATTAATGTCACAATTATTAAAAAGCATAGAGTTAAAAATCCATAAACATCGAGCAATTCATTTTGCCACCAATATAAATCAATTGCAGGCGATTTTAAAACATTTGGTCCATGTCGAATTACGTACTCAACCCAAAAATTGACAGTTTCACCTATTTTCAACGGCCTGTCACGATATAGTTGAGATTCACGTTTCGCCGACTCTCTGTAATATTTATTTTTACATTAAACTTTAGAAATGGTGTCATTTTTCTAAACTTTAGACCATTTTTCAAAAAAGAAAAAAACAAAACAAAATACAGAATATCATGTTTCTGCATGGTATGGTTACCTGTAAGATGCATTATATAAAACAGAATTCAAAGCTTCAGTCAATGACTCTTCCGTTAGTGTTTTATAATCCATCGAAATTGACATTCCCTTTTTTACTAAAAGCTGAACATTTGTAAATTGATCTCCAAAGATAGGAAATCCGATCATAGGTACGCCATTGTATAGTGCCTCTATAGATGATAATAGTCCTCCGTGTGTCATAAATAATCGTGTATTATTGTGTCCTAAAATAGTAACAATTGTCTGTTATAATTATTACAACACATTTTGTTTATATTAGCAAAAACATAATTCAGTTGCTGTTTAACAAGTTATTCAAATTGAATGATTTGATTTTTATTAGAATGGAAATTTTCTTTTCCAAAAAAAATAAATAAATAAATAAGTTAAACGAAGAAGAAATTTAGTCAGAGAATTCAATTATTCCATCCTTACGTAGAATTGGAATTTGAGGAATCCAATTAGAAACAAGAACGTTGCTGGGAAGTCCGGGTGGTAGTTTTTCCTTATTCACGATTTTCATTAAAACCCTTATAGGCGCTATTTTTTCGAAAGCTGCGTAAAATGTCAGAAGAGTTTCCTTTGGAAGCGTCTCTATCAGAACCATCGATCCCAATGTGAAATAAACAACGCCTTCTTTGCTTTCGTCCATCAATTTTTGAAAGTCCTGTAGAATTAGAATTTACAAGAATTAAAAATTAGATCTGTTGTTCGATTTTTCTCTTTTTTAAGGAAGAATTATTACCAAAATGACAATTTTTCCTTCAATATTAAAAATGTAAAAATATAAAAATAAAATTAAATAAAATAAAAATAAGAAACAATAAACAAAATATCAAAAAGTTATGTTCGCTGCAATGTTCGGTAAACAATAAATACATTTTTTCTCGAACTTTTGGATAATAAACCTAAACCTACCGAAGGTAATTTATTCTGGTCTTGTTCAACGTGAATTCCGCCAATGTCAATTGCAGCGGCTGTTTTACTTTTAACTCCATTAAAACTATAAAACGAATTGATAAATGTGAGGGCAACTGTTCTTTCCACTTGTCGTATATCCGGTATATTAGGATCCAAATATTTCCTCATTGCTTCAGTTTGATTTTTTCCTGTACTCGTGTAAAATTGATAGTTACTTTGATGGATTTGTACAACATTCCATAAACGATCCCAAAATGTTGAAACTTCAATTATTCTACTCAACAGTAAATTTGGAACAAAAGCCGCTGAGTTTGGATTTCCAAGTGCATCGTTAGCCCACGTTAATTCCATTGTTGTCGATATTGTAATTACTGGTACTTTCAAAAGATATCCTATTCCTATATAGCATTGTGCAGTAAATGTCTAAAAATTTACAAAAAGAAAAAAATTAGTTAGCTCAAATTTTTTTTTTTTTTTTTTTTTTTTTTTTTTTTTTTTTTTTTTTTTAATTTAATTATTTTGAATAACTAGTATTTTCATAAAATTTCCAAATAGAATTCAATTATTTAAAACATTATTTATAAAAATCTTCGTAATAATTTAATTTATTTTGATGAATAATAAAAATTCCACAAGAATTCAATTATAATGTAGAATAGAATTTTCAAAATAATTTCAAAAAAAAACAATTATTTAATGCAATTCTTCACAATAAATCAATTACTTTCACTAAAAAATAACATTTTCCATGGAAATTCAATTTTAAAAAAAAAATTTTTTATAAAATTTATCAAAAATAATAAAAACCCATCGAAGAATTTAAAATTATTTTTAATACTATCTTTAAATTAATTAATCTAAAAATTCAATTATTTCCACAAATAAAGTTTTTCACAAGAATTCAATTATTTAAAATAGATGTTTCAAAATATTTATTATATTTCGAAAAAATGAATTATTTAAAATATGTTTATAGAATTCTTATAAAAAATTATTTTTAAAAATAACAAAATTTTTCACAAAAATCTAATTCTTTTTAAGCAATTTAATAAAATTTTTCACAATAATTTAATTATTTTCATAAATAATAAAATTCTCCTCAGGAATTCAAGTATTTTTGAAAATTTTAATAAAATTCTTAGCAACTATTCAATTATTTTCATAAATAATAATAAAATTCTTATCAACTGTTCAATTATTTTTATAAATAATAAAATTCATCACAGAATTTCAATTATTTTTAATACAATTTTACAGGAATTACTCAAAAAATGTAATTATTCTTATAAATTTAATTTCCATTCCTCGAAAAAGTCAATAATTATTTTTAAAAAAATGTTTTTTCTTTAGAAGAATTCAATTATTTTCAAATATTTTAATAAAATTGTTCGAAAGAAATCAATTATTTGAAATACAATTTTAATAAAGTTTGTTTAAATAATTAAATTATTCTTTTTAGATTTTAATCAAATTCTTCGCAAGAATTTAATTATTTACATAAATAATTCTTCGAAAGGATTCAATTATTAAAGATAAATAACAAAATTATTCCCGAGAATTCAATTTTTTTGTGGCTATTTAATAAAATTTTTTGTAAAATTCAATTATTTCCATAAAAAACAATACTCATCATAAGAAATCAATTATTTTTCAAAGTAATATGTTTCTTCTTGAAAATTCAATTATTTAAAAAAATTCTAATTAAATCGTTCGCAAGAATTCAATTATTTTCATAAATAGTGTAATTCTTCTCAGGAATTCAATTATTTTTTAAAATTTTAATAAAATCCTTATCAACTATTCAATTATTTTCATAAATAATAAAATTCTTAGCAACTATTTTTTTTAAATAATTCAATTATTGTTTTGGATTTAAATAAAATTCTTCCCAAGAATTCAATTATTTACATTAATAATTTTTCGAAAGAATAAAATTATGTCGATAAATAACAAAATGATTCTCGAAAATTTAATTATTTTGATGCATTTTAATAAAATTCTTTGCAAATTTTAATTATTTTCATAAATAACAATATTCATCACAAGAATTCAATTATTTTAAAAAATAATAAATTTCTTCTTGGAAATTCAATTATTTTTAAAAAATCAAATAAAATCGTTCGCAAGAATTCAATTATTTTCATAAATAATAAAATGCTTTTTAGGAATTAAATTATTTTCAAAAAAATTTAATAAAATGCCACACAGCCATTGAATTATTATTATTCTCAAAAATTTTAATAGAATTCTTTGTAAAATTTAAATATTTAATTAAAAACTTTTCGCAATTCAATGATTTTCAATATCTACTATTTTCATAAAATTTCCAAATAGAATTCAATTATTTAAAACATTATTTGTAAAAATCTTCGTAAGAATTCAAATTTTTTTGATGAATAATAAAAATTTCTCAGGAATTCAATTATTTAAATTTGAATTTGCATAAAAATGTTTAAGTCGAAAGAAATCAATTATTTTAAAATTATTTAAAAATTATTGTTTTTGAATTCGATGCTGGAATTCAATTTATTAGCAGGATAAATAAATCATATTTTTAATAAATATTTTTGATGAAAAATAGGAAAAAGTGAGGAAAATAAAAAATATGGAATGGACTTTTTGTCAGTTTTATGAAGTGTCTAAAACGGGTATTTTTGATCGTCAAATTTAATTTTTCGATAGATACTTTTTTTAAATACTTTTTTTAGTTTGAAAGCTACTTTTTGCTACTTTTTGAAAATTGAGGCTCCGGATCTTAAAAGGGCACTTTCAGCATTGATTTTAAATGGTAAAAGTGCCCTTTTAAGATCCGAAGCCTCAATTAATTATCGAGTGCGAAGTTTGAAATTGTAAAACTTTCATCAAACTTTAACAACATTGTCTCAATATTGTAAAGCTTGCAGCAAACATTAACAACATTGTTTCAACATTGTCAAACTTGCAGCAAACTTTAACAACATTGTCTTAATATTTTCGTCGCAATATTTTAAAACTTGCAACAAACATTTGCAATGTTGTCAATTTTGCTAAAAGTTTGGATGCCATCGGGAGATGATATATTAATGGTAATAAAGATGACAATAAAGACAAAACTTCAGCAAAAAGATTCAAAAGTATAATAAAAAAAGAAGGCCGAACAGCATCCGAATATTCACAAAACAAATTCCCAAAAAAGAAAGATTTGATGATCATGCTAAGCACAAAATAAGAAGAAGCAATATATTATTTCAAACCTCAGTAATTAGAAGATCATAGGGCGGATCACGTGGAGGATTTTTAAGCAATTTCTGCATCTCCGGAATTCCCATCAATTCACAAAGTTCATTTCCAAAATATTCGCAAATTGTCAGCACTGGCGACTGATTTAAATGATCAGCAAATTCAATTGAAAAATTATTCATTACACTCCTCCTCGTCCCTTCTAAATTAATAATTGTTTCATAATTTTTCGGCGGATTTTTCAATTTAAAATGTGAGACAACGTCAACTTTATGACCATTTCTCGCTAATGTTTTTGTCACACCCTCAAACATGTTATTATGACTCTTTGAATTATATGGAAAAACTGCCAAAATTCGATAACCGTCACTGCCTATTCCGTTTATTATAAAAAATAGGCAGCAGGAAATAAAAGATAAAGTTAAATTCATCTTTGAAAGGTAAAATTATTATTGGACAGAGTGAGAAGAATATATTTATATTTGAATGATTAGAGATGTAATATTGAACTGACAAAGTACTTGGTATACCAAAAATTTCTAATAAAACTTGGGTTTATTACTTAGATCTCCCCACTTTTTCCTATTCAAAATAATTACGTGTGTTTACTTTCTTAGATATTTATCTTTTTCCTAATGGTGATAATATATATAATTATTATGATAGTTAAGAATTACGGATATTAAACAAATATTTTTATCGCAATTTTAGGCTAAATATGATAAAGAAAACTATTGATTTCTCTTAACAAATGTAAATTTAATTGAATTTTTCATTTTTCATTTTAATAAAAATAATATTTCGATTTTTGTTTCTTCTTATTTAGAGAGAAAATTAATTGCCTCGAATGTTTACTTTGTATTTTCTAATGTTTTCTTGAATTGTGTATTTATGATAACAGGGAACAATTCAAATATTTTCATAGATAATAAAATTTTAACAGGAATTCAATTATTTAAATACAAATTTTTATAAAAATTTTTTCAAAGAAATTAATTATTTAAACAAATGTTTATAAAATTCTTCTTTTTTTAATACGATACTTTGCAATATTTCAATTAATTTTAATACAATTTTAAACGAATTTCACGAAAATTTCAATTATTCTTAAAAATTTTATTAAAATTCTATTGAAATATTTCAGTTATTTTCAAAAATTGTAATAAGAATTCAAATATTTTTAACAAATTTTAATAAAATTCAATAATAAAATTTTTCATTACAATAAATAACAGACACGATAATATTGTAAAAAGTTTAAACAAATTCTTCGAAAAATTCAATTATTTTAATTTAAAATTATTAAAAAACGAGATTATTTTCAAAAACTTAAAGAAATTCTTTATATGAATTTAATTTTCTCTGAATAATTTTTTCATAAAATTTACCAATAAAATTATTAATTTAATATATTTGAAAAATCGATTATATTAAAAAAAATTAAAGAACTTCTGAAAGAAATGATTTATTTTCTGAAAATTTTAATAAAATTCAATAATTAAATGTTAAAGTACAATTATTAACAAACACGGTTATTTTAAAAACCGAGAAGAAATTCTTCATAAAATTCAATTAATTTCAAAATTTTTAATGAAAATGATTTTTTTTTTTTAAACTCCATTTTGTAAATTAAATTTATAGAAAGAATTAGTTAATTTCAAAATTTTTAATAAAATTCTTCTATAGAATTTATTTATATTCACAAATATTAAAATTATTTATAGGAATTGAATGATTTTAATTTTTTTTTATAAAATTCGTAGCAAAAATTCAATTATTTTCAATAATTTCAATAAAATTTTTCGCAGAATTTCAATTATTTTTAATACAATTTTAAATTAATTTCTTGAAAAATGCAATTATTCTTTGAATTTTTATTAAAATTTTTCGAAAGAATTCAATTATTAAAAATTTTTTTTTTTATTTCTTTAAAAGAATTTTAATTTTTAAGAAAAAAATCAATTGTTCAATAATTAGGAAATTATTTATTTTTGTTTTTAAATAATTAAATTCTTATAGAGAAATTTCTAAAAACAATTGATTAAAAAAAAATTTCAGTTACAATTTCAAAAATAATAATTGAATATTAGAAGCGTTATAGTATGAATTTTTAGAAATATAATTAAATTTCAAAAGTATTTTCAATTTTAAGTCTGAAAATCTTTATTCTTGTAAAATTGTAATAATATTTAAATATTTATTGTAAAAACTGATTAAAGTTTTAAATAATTAAAAAGGTATAAATAAAATTTTAATTGAAATGAATGTATATTTTTAAAAATTAAACATTTAAAGAGATTAAAGAAAGGAGTATAATTTTTTTTTAAATTTATTTACAGTTTCTATAAATTATCCAGGTAAACAATAATAAAACATTTTTTCAAGTGACACCATGCTAGAAATTCGTGATTGAAATATTGCAAAATTAAATGTTTATTTTTAATTTTAAAGATACTTTAGGTACACATTTGTTTATATAAGCAATAAGTTATTTTTAATTACCCAAATAAGGGAATCATTATGAATTTAGTTTATACTACAATAAATTATTTTATCTTTTCAATTTTCTAACTATATATAACTTTAATATTAACTAAAAAATTGCAGAAATTCAATTCTTTTTAAAAGTAATATAAAATTCTTCGCAAAAATTCAATTATGTTCAAAATTTTTTTTAAATTCTCATCAAAATTTCAATTATTTTTAGAAATAATTAAATTCTTCTCTGAAATTTAATTATTTTCAAAAATTTTCCTCAATTCAATGATTTTTAATATCTATTAGTTTAATAAAGTTTTAGAAAACAATTCAATTATTTAAAAAAAAAATTTAATAAAATTTTACCCAAACCTTTAATTATTTTCATATAATAATACAAATTTTACAGGAATTCAATTATTTACAAATTTTTTATAAATTTCTTCGCAATCATTCAATTATTTTCATAAATAATAAAATTTTTACATGGATTCAATTATTTTCGTAAATATTAATAAAATTCTTTTTAGGAATTCAATTATTTTCAAAAATAAAAAAACTCATTGCAGATTTTCAATTATTTTTAATACAATTTTAATCGAATTCGTCGAAAAATGTAATCATTTTTAAACATTTTATTAAAATTCATCAAAAGAATTTAATTATTTAAAAATTTATTGATAAAATTCTTTATGAAAATTGAATTTTAAAAAATAAGCAATATTCAATAAATTGTTTTTTTTGTAGGTAAATAATTGAAGTCTAGTAGAATTTTCTATAAAAAATTGATTTAAAAATGGATTTCACTTATAATTTTCGATTATAATTGAATATTAAAACCATTATAGCTTGAATTATTAGAAATAATTTAATTTTGAAAAGGTTTCACATTTAAATCTTTGAAAATTTGAATTTTTCATATTTTTAACCAACAATTCTGTGGAATTCATTTTTTTTTTTTTTTTTTGGAGAAAGTTTAATTGCGGATTTTTTTAAAAATTATTAAAAGGTTTTTATTTTCTAATATATATATTTAATTGAAGAATTTACGAATAATCGAAATTTCGTTAAATTGAATTGTAAACAAAAACAAATTTGAAAGTTCTAAAGGAAATTTTGCAAACATTATTAAAAATAATTGATAATTAAATTTTTTCGAAGAATTTTAATAAAATTTTTGAAAATAATTACATTTTTAGAAGAATTTACCTAAAATTGTATATTAAAAATAATTAAAATTCTGCGAAGAATTTTATAATTTAGGAAAGAATAATTGAATTCTTTCAACGAGTTTTTATTATATTTTTTTTAAATAATTGAAATCTTGTGAAGAATATTATTATTTAGGAAAGAATAATTGAATTCTTGCAACGAGTTTTATTACATTTTTTTTAAATAATTGAAATCCTGTAAAGAATGTTATTATTCATGAAAATAATTGAATTCTATTTGAATTCTATTGAATTCTATTTTGTTAAAATAGTAGATTTTGAAGATGTTTAGTTAAAAACGGGAAAAAATATTTAGGTAATTTTGTGAAAGTTACAAATTATTGCAGAAATTCAATTATTTTCAAAAGTACCAATATTCTTCGCAAAAATTAAATATTGTTCAAAAATAATAAAATTCTTCTTAGGGATTCAATTATTTTCACAAATAATAAAACTCATCGCAGAATTTCAATTATTTTGAATACAATTTTAATCAAATTTCTCGAAAAATTTAATTATTCTTAAAAATTTTATTAAAATTCGTCGAAAGAATTCGATTACTTAAAAATTTGTTGATAAAATTCTTTGTCGGAAATTGAATGTTAAGAAACATTTAATTATTCAATAAATTATTTATTTTTGTATTTAAATAATTTAATTTGTAGTAGAATTTTCTAATAAAAATTGATTTTCATTTCATAAAAATGAATTTCAGTTAAAATTTTAGATAATAATTGAATAGTAAAAGCATTTATAGCGTGAATATTTAGAAATAATTGAATTTTGAAATTAGTTTTTTTGATAAAGTTTAATTGAATTTTTTGGTATTATTTTAAGTTTTTATTTTCTAATATATGTTTAATTGAAGAATTTACGAATAATTTGAATTTTGTAAAATTGAAGACTCGGAGTTATCGATATCTTCATGTTTTATAGTTATGAAAAATTTAATTTATAGTTTTAAGTAAAATCCGTAATTGAACGCCTTGATGCAAGAACCAGACGCAGTCTATTTAATTTCAATGGCCTATGTCTGGTTCTTGCATCAAGGGGTTCAATTTTTCATTTTTGGTGCATAAAGTCCGTATTTTTAAATACTTTCACTGGTTCGAGTCCTGTGATCACGCTAAGCACAAAATAAGAAGAAGCAATATATTATTTCAAACCTCAGTAATTAGAAGATCATAGGGCGGATCGTGTGGAGGATTTTTAATCAATTTCTGCATCTCAGGAAGGCCCATTAATTCACAAAGTTCATTTCCATACATTTCGGAAATTGTCAATACTGTCGACTTTTGTATATGATTAGCAAATTCAATTGTAAAATTATTCACTAAATTTCCCCTTGTACCTTCTAAATTAATGATTGTTCGATAATTTTTCGGCGGATTTTTCAATTTAAAATGTGAGACAACGTCAACTTTATGACCATTCCTCGCTAATGTTTTTGTCACACCCTCAAACATATTATTATGACTCTTTGAATTAAATGGAAAAACTGCCAAAATGCGATAACCATCACTACTCAACCCGTTTATTATAAAAAGCAAACAAACATTAAGAAACATAAGAAAATTCATCATTTAGAGATGAATTTAAAAATTGAAGATGTTATTTGAATAATAGTTCGAAAATGGTATGAAATATACAGTTCTCCGAATGATATGCTCTTTTTATCCGAATCATCAGTAGCGTGTGTAATATGCAATTATCTGTTAAATAAAGTATTTAATTGTCTGATAACAATTTTTTTATATAGAAAAGTGCTTCTTTTGACAAAGTAGAAAATTGTCTATCATGCTTCGTTTAATTGTTAATTTTATCTTATCGGGAATTATTATAAATATTAACTTTATTTTTTAAAGGCACTAAAATATTATTACAAAGCTAACGAGGCATTTTTACGTCTAAAAAATTGATACAATTTTTTTTTGGGGGGGAAATTAATTCTTCTTCTTCTTCTGATTCACTGTTGTCTGTTTGTTAAAAACGAAAAATATTCGTCTAATGATAAGCAATAGGAAATAAATTGCGGCGACACTGCAGAATAATAAAAATCCATAGACATCAAGTAACGCCAATTGCCACCAATTGAGATTGACTGCTGGTGATCTCAAAGAATCTGCTCCATTCCTGATGACGTATTCAACCCAGAAGTTGACAGTTTCAGTCGCTGTCATCGGCCTATCGCGAAATAATTTCGACTCATATTTTGCCGCTTCTCTGTACAAAAAAATTTCTCTTTAGCATTAATGTTTTACTTTATTTTTTACTTTGTGTTTTCATTTTTTTTTTATTTTTGATTTTATTTTTTACTTTGTTTTCTATTTTATTTTTCTATTTTGTTTTCTTATTTTATTTTGTTATTTTATGTCAGTTAATTCGTTTTAGAAGAAGAAATAGTATAGAACATCATAAAGAAGAAATAGAAGCAAAGAATAAGAGTATTGGATAAATAAGTCTTTATATTAAAATGTAAAAAAAGATCTTTGTGGATAAGGAAAAAAAATACAAACCGATACTTGGGATTATTTAGAACCGCATCGAGAGCTTCATCCAATGATTCCTTTGTCAACTTTTTATAGTTCAATCTGATTGCCATATTTTTGTTGACGAAAATACGAATATTGGAAAATTGATCGGCGTATAAAGGCAAACCTATTAAAGGAACGCCATTATATAATGCCTCGAGTGTTGAAATTAATCCACCATGTGTTATGAATAATCGTGTATTATTATGTCCTGTCAGAAACACACAACCAAATGTAATTCTCGCATATCTGTAATAACTAAATTTCATTTTACAATATTATTATTATTATTATCATCGTCTATGTCATTAGTGACGTAGAAATATTGTTTAATGTCATGGATGATATTTGGAGGAAATGATATTTACTAGATATTTATTTGGTACTACTACTACCACTACTTCATTTAAGAATAAGATTATTTTCAAAAAATATTCGAAATTCAATTATTTTCAATATCTAGTATTTTCATAAAATTTCCAAATAGAATTCAATTATTTAAACAAAAATTCTTAACATTCATTCAAAATTCAATTATTTTTATAAATAATAAAACTCATCGAAGAATTGCAATTATTTGTAATACTATCTTTAAATTAATTAATCGAAAAATTCAATTATTTTTACAAATAAAGTTTTCCACAAGAATTCAATTATTTAAAATAAAAATTTCATAATATTTACTATATTTCGAAAAAATTTATTATTTAAAACAATGTTTTTAAAATTCTTTTATTCTTTTTAAAAAGTAAAAAAAAAATTTCGCAATAATTCAATTATTTTCATAAATAATAAAAATTCTTCTCAGGAATTCAATTATAATTTAGAAATAGCATTTTCAAAAAAATTTCGAAAGAACAAATTATTTCACAAAAATTTTATACATACTTCACAATAATTCAATTACTTTCACTAATAATAACATTTTTCATGGAAATTCAATTTTTAAAAAAAAAATGTTGATAAAATTCTAAGCAAGAATTCAATTATTTTCATAAACAATAAAACTCATCTAAGAATTTCAATTACTTTTAATGCTATTTTAAATTAATTATACGAAAAATTCAATTATTTTCACAAATCAAATTTTCCACAAGAATTCAATTATCTAAAATAAAATTTTCATAATATTTACTATAATTCGAAAAAATTAATTATTTAAAACAATGTTTATAAAATTCTTATAAAGAATTCAATTATTTTCAAAACTAACAAAATTTTTCACAGAAATTCAATTCATTTTAAACATTTTAATAAAATTTTTCACAATCATTCAATTATTTTTATAAATATTAAAAATCTTCTCAAGATTTCAATTATTTTTAATACAAGTTTACAGGAATTGTTCAAAAAATGTAATTATTCTTAAAAATTTAATTTCAATTCCTCGAAAAAATCAATTATTTAAAAAATGTTTCTTTAAAATTCTTTGGAAAAATTCAATTATTGACAAAAATATTAGAATTTTTCACAGGACTCCAATTATTTTCAAATATTCAAATAAAATTGGTCGAAAAAAATCAATTATTTTAAATACAATTTTAATTGAATTTTTTTTAAATAATTCAATTATTCTTTTTAGATTTTAATCAAATTCTTCGCAGGAATTCAATTATTTACATAAATAATTTTTCGAAACAATTTAATTATGTCGACAAATAACAAAATTATTCCCGAAAATTCAATTATTTTGAGGCATTTTAATAAAATTCTTTACAAAATTCAATTATTTCCATAAATAACAATTTGATTCATCAGAAGAATTCAATTATTTAAAAAAATAATACATTTTTTCTTGGAAATTAAATTATTAAAAAAAAATTCTAATAAAATCGTTCGCAAGAATTCAATTATTTTCATAAATAGTGTAATTCTTCTCAGAAATTCAATTATTTTTGAAAATTTTAATAAAATTCTTAGCAAATATTTTTTTAAATAATTCAATTATTCTTTTAGATTTTAATAAAATTCTTCCCAAGAATTCAATTATGTCGATAAATAACAAAATTTTTCCCGAAAATTTAATTATTTTGAGGCATTTTAATAAAATTCTTTGCGAATTTTAATTATTTTCAAAAATAACAATAATCATCACAAGAATTTAATTATTTTTAAAATTAATAAAATTTCTTCTTGGAAATTCAATTATTTTTTAAAAATCAAATAAAATCGTTCACAAGAATTCAATTATTTTCATAAATAATAAAATGCTTTTTAGGAATTAAATTATTTTCAAAAAAATTTAATAAAATACCACACAGACATTCAATTATTATTCTCAAAAATTTTAATAGAATTCTTTGTAAAATTTAATTATTTAATTAAAAACTTTTCGCAATTCAATGATTTTCAATATCTACTATTTTCATAAAATTTTCAAAAAGAATTCAATTATTTAAAACATTATCTGTAAAAATTTATCTTCGTTAAAATTTAAATTTTTTTGATGAATAATACAAATTTCTCAGGAATTCAATTATTAAAAATTTGTATAAAATTCTTCGCAAGAATTAAATTATTGTTATAAATATTTAAATTCTTTCATGAATAATAAAATTCGTTGCAGGAATTAAATTTATTAGCAGGATAAGAAAGAAGTAAATATTTTTGATGAAAATTAGGAAAAAGTGAGGAAAATAAAAAATATGGAATAGAATTTTTGTCAGTTTTGTGAAGTGTCTAAAACTCGTTTTTTTGGTCCTGAAGTTTAATTTTCCGATAGCTACTTTTTTTTTAGTTTGAAAGCTACTTTTTGCTACTTTTTTTAAAATTAATTATCGAGTGCGAATTCTGTAGTGGGAAAAATTTGTTAGGGCATTAAACTGGACGAATTTTGAGAGCATTATTTTTCTATGATCAAAATAAATATTAGCCCTAGGGTTATTTTTAGTACAAACTGCTTTTTTATTTGATTAACTTTGAATTTCGCGCCAATATATTTCTCTGAATTCCCGCCTAGATGTCATGAAAGTTCTCTCGCTGTCGAGATTGTCTTGTAGGGGGATAAGTATCAATGATCTTGCTAGTTAAATTTTCCCTAATTTATAGATGGTAATTAATAATATTAATATTAATATTATTAATTATTATATTAATATTAATTTAATTGTTTTATAAAATAATTAATAAAATAAATTTTACGCTTGACGAAATAATTTTTCTTTGCCCTGGGCCAATATTGACGCACCAATTAGCCAATTTTTTAGCCCCTGGAAATTTTTTAAAGTCTCATTTTTCTTACGCATAACTTGAAGTTGTGGTATCCAGTCGGAAATCAGTACATTGCTGGGGAGTCCTGGGGGTAATTTATCCTTATTCGCAATTTTCATGAGAACCCTGACAGGTGCTATTTTCTCAAAAGCTGAATATATCTCAAGAAGCGTTTCTTTCGGGAGAGTCTCAATCAAAACCATTGACCCGAGTGTAAAATAAACCACTCCGTGAGCGCTTTCGTCCAACCACTTCTCGAGACTCTTAAAACATTAACACTCCAAATTAAAATTTATAATTTTTAAATATTAAAATTTTTCAATTTATTTTAATTCTTATTTTCTTTTTTGTTTTGCTTTTTATTCTATTTTCTTTTTTTTTCTTTTTGTCTTTATTTTATTTTTTATTTCATTTTTCTTTTCCTTTTTTTGTTTTATTTCTATTCTGATAATTAATGTTATCATTTGATATAAAAAAAAAAGTTTTTTTAATTATTCCCCTAAAGGTTAAGTTAATTTTCCTCCAATTGAAAAAAAAAATAATTTCTCACCTGGGATACTGTGACGTCACTGTCTTCCACGTGTATTCCCGCGATATCAATTAAGGCAGGACTTCTAATTCGAATACCAAATAATGTGTGAAAAGAATTAATGAATGTTAAAGCCGTACTTTTTTCCACTTCACGTATATTTGGTATATCTGAACTTAAATATTTTCTCATTAATTTTGTTTGCGCCTCCTCGGTTATTGAGAAAAATCGAAATTTACTGCGATATGTTATAATTGTATTTTCCAATCGTTCCCAAAATGTTGTCACCTTAGCCGCGTCCATCATAACATTTGGTGCAAATGCTATTGAATCGGGATTCCCAACATGATCGCTTGTCCACGAAAATTCCAATAATGAAGAAACAGTTATTACTGGTACTTTCAATATGTGTCCAATTCCTATAAAGCAATTTGCTGTGAATGCCTGTAAAAAAAAATTTATTCGATAAAAAGTTTTAAAAAGTAAAAGTTATTTTAAAGTTATTCATTAAAAAAAATTATTATATTAAATATTGTTAATTGATGAATTTGTTAAAATAACAAATTTGGTTAAAGTAACATTTAATTTGTTACAGTATCAAATTTATTAAATTAACAAATTTATTGAATTAAAAATATTTATTAAAAAAAAAAAAAAAAAAAAAAAAAAAAAAAAAAAAAATTACTCAATATTTATTAAATTTGCAGTTTTTCTGCGGATATCAAAATTGAGACAAAAACGAATTAAAAGTGTTGCGTAAGAAAATAAAAAACAAACCTCAGTGATTAAAATATCATAAGGCGGATCATTTGGTGGATTTTTAACAAGTCTCTGAATATCTTTGTGCGCGAGTAATTCGCAAAGTTCATTTCCATAAAAAACAGAAATTAATGGCACGAGGTCGTCGCCAAGTTGTGTGGCGAAATCAATTGTAAAATTATTCACAACATTTCTTCTTGTACCGGATAAATTAATAATTGTTTGATAATTTTTCGGTGAATTTTTCATTTCAAAATGAGTGACAGCGTCCACTTGATGTCCACGTTTTGCTAAACCTCTCGTCACACCTTCAAAAACATTATTATGACTACGCGAATTAAAGGGAAAAATTGCCAAAATTCTATAACCATCACTATGTTTTATGTTTATTGAAAAGTTTATGAAACACAAAAGAATAAATAAGAGAGATTTCATTTTTTTTTTTTTTTTTGAATAAAATACAAAAAAGTGGAAAAAAATAAATAAAGTGGGAAAATTTTCCGAAAATCTAGTTTATATTTATACAATTGTAAAAATGTTAAAGAGTTTTTAAGAACAGGTATCAGACAATTCAGTAATGAGACTGACTTGCCATTATGATCTCTCTTGACTCTAATTAAATGCAGTTTATTTTTATTGCGTAACGTGTTTTCTTGTAGAAAAAGATAATTTTGAAAAAATTTCAACATCACTTTGTAGGCAAGATGATTTTTTTTCTTTATTAATTTATTTTTTTTAATTATTTTTCACTACAGTTTAAAAATAATTGCAAAATATTAATAATTTAATAATAACACTTATGATGCCAATAAAAAAAAATTAAAAATAAAATAGTCTAATTAATTACTAATAAAAAACAAAAAAAAATAATAATAATATTCAACAATAATAAAAAGCAAATATTATAATTAATAATTGTAATTATATTTGTTGAAAATAAAACAAATTAAAAATAATGAAAAATAATAAAATAAAAAATAATTATAATGAAAAAAATAATAAAGTCACACTGATAAAAAATTTATTTGATTCAAAAAACCAATCACTTGCGTCTGTTATCAAATAAATATTTCCTTAATTCAAATAATTTTTACATAATTAAAATAAATTATATTTGAAACAATAATTTCAGTATTTTTAAAATTTTATTTTTATTTTTATTTTTATTTTTATTTTTATTTTTATTTTTATTTTTATTTTTATTTTTATTTTTATTTTTATTTTTATTTTTATTTTTATTTTTATTTTTATTTTTATTTATAAATAAATAGGTAAATTTTAAGAAATAAAATATTTGAATAAAAAATAGTATTTGAAGCAAATACAATTTAATTGACTAAAATAAAAATTATTTGATACAAGTAAATATTTATTCGATAAAATAGACAATTAATCGCTTATTTGAATAAAATAAATTTTTTTCTTTCAGTGCAATAATTAATTATAAATAAACTTGTTAATAATGTTAAGATACCTATTATAAAAAATAAAAATAAATAAATCTAATAAATTGCTATCTTTGTAAATCTAAAAATAAAATACAGAACGTATTTGAAAATAGTGAAAATCAAGTAAATTATAACTAAAGTGCATAATGATAAAAAAAGGTAAATATCGAAAAGATCATTTTGCCACCAATAGAGATTGATCGCCGGTGATTTTAACGAATTTGCACCATTTCTAATCACGTATTCCACCCAGAAATTCACAGTTTCCGTTGCATTCATCGGTCTATCGTGAAATAATCTTGATTCCAATTTTGCCGATTCCCTGCGAAAGAAAATATTGCAATTTCACCTTTATTTAGATAATTATTAATTATTTTTTATTTACATAAATAAGTTGTTTATAAATACAAAATTAAATAAATAGAAAATAAGGAAAATAAAAAAAAGTAAATAAATAATTTTAAATTATTAAACTAATATTGCTAATTATAATATAATTATTATAGTTAATTATATTGTTTTTTTAATTTTTTATTATATTATTATTATTATTATTATTATTATTATTATTATTATTATTATTATTAATTTTTTTTCTCTTATTGCAAAATTATAAAATCTAATTTAAATGTTTAAAGAATTTTAATAATTTATGTTAAATAGTTTAAAATAATTTACAAATTCGTAACAAAAGAAGAAAGAGAATTTAACACGAAAATTATATCCACGTGTGCGAATTTTAATTACCTGTAAGTGGAATTATTTAAAATTTCATTTAAAGCATTGTCCAGTGAATGTTCATTTATTTTGTTTATATCTAATTCAATTGCCATATGTTTTTTCACCATTACATCAACATTAAAAAATTGATCGTAAAATAATGGAAGACCAATTACTGGAACACAAAAATACAATGCCTCTATTGTTGACATTAATCCACCGTGTGTGATGAATAATTTTGTATTTTTGTGCCCTGAAAATTAAATAGCATTCTATAGTCATCAATAATTATTATTATTTATATAATTTTAATTATTTACAGTGGAAAAAATTTATTTGATTTAAATAATCGATTATTTCAGTCAAATTAATTTTTTTTAGTGTATAATATATTCAGTGACTATTGTTCATTTAATTTATTTAATTAATAATAAAAAAATAATCATTAAATATTAAAAATTACGCAGTCATTTGAAAAATAAATAATAAGTGATTGCGTGTGTTTACTCAAAACTTGAAGTTGAGGAATCCATTTGGAACTAAGTACGTTGCTGGGTAGACCGTTAGGAAGTTTTTCTTTGTTGACGATTTTCATCACAACTCTAACAGGGGAAATTTTTTTGAAAGACGAGAAAATCGCAAGAAGCGTTTCTTTGGGAAGAGTCTCAATTACCACCAAAGAACCCAGGGAGAAGTAAACTACACCGTGTTTACTCTCATTCAACCAGACCTCCAGTTCCTTTAATAAAAAAAATTTCAAAATTTATTATTAAAAAAAAGATGAAATATTCAATCCACAAAAATTATTATTCATATTTTTTTATAAACACAATTATAATAAGAAAATTTAAAACTTAAAAATTTTAGGCAATTTAAAGAACATTAATTAATGGAATATTAATTAATGGAACATTAAATAGTGGAATATTAATTAATAGACCATTAATTAGAGGAATATTAATTAATGGAATATTAGATAATGGGACAATAATTAATGGAATATTTATTAATTAGTAGGATACTAATTAACGGGACAGTAATTAATGGAATATTAGTTAAGAGGACTTTAATTTGTGGAATATTAATTCATGAAATATAATTTAATGGGACATTAATTATTGGAATATTAATTAATGAAATATTAGAAAATGGGACAATAATTAATGGAATATTTATTAATTAATGGGCCTCTAACTAATACGAATATTAGTTACTCCAACAATTAGTGGAATATTTATTAATTAATAGAAGATTAATTAATGGGACATTAATTAATAGAATTTTAGTTAATGGGACAATATTTAGTGGATTAATTACTAATTCATAAGACATTAATTAGTGCAATATTAATTGATGGAGTATTAGCTAATGGATGAATAATTTGTAGAATATCTATTAATTAATTAGTAAATGGTACAACAATAATGCAATAACAGTTATTAAAATATTACTAATATTAGTTAATGGGTCAATAATTAGTGGTTTTATCAATTAATGGGACATTAATTAAAGGAATATTATTTACTGAAACAATAATTAGTATAATATTAATTAATTAATAGGATATTAATTAAGGGGACCTTAATTAATGGAATATTAGTTAAGGGGATATTAATTTGTGGAATATTTTTTAGTAGAATATTAGTTAATTAGTGAAATAATAATTAATGGAATATTAGTTAATAATGCAATATGTAGTGGAATATTTATTGTACAATGGGATATTAATTAATATAATGTTAAATAATTAATGGAATATTATTTAGTGGAATTTAATTAATTAATATGACACTAATTAGTGAAATATTAATTCATAGAATATTAGTTAATGGGAAGTTAATTAATGGAATATCAATCAATTGGATATTAATTGATGGAACATTTAGTGGAATATTAAGTAATTGGTCATTAATTAGTTAAATATTAACTTGTATCATTAATTAGTGAAATATTAATTAGGAGCATTGATTAGTAGAATTTTAATTAATTGTCAATTAATAAGGAGTATTAATTAGTTTAAATATTAATTAATTGTTAATTAATAAGGAGCATTAATTAGTTGAAATATTAATTAATTGGTATTTAATAAGGAGTATTAATTAGTTGTAATATTAATTAATTAAGTGCATTAATTAGTGGAATATTCATTAATTAAGAGCATCAATTAGTGGAAATTTAATTAATTTAGATAATATTAATTTATATTAAAAAATTATTGTTGTGGAGGACAACAAAATTGTTTTCATTATGCTAGAAAAATATTTACACACTTTGGATATTGTTAAGGGAGCATCTTCCAAATGAATTGGCGCAATGTCAATTAAAGCTGGACTTCTTAATCGAATTCCCGTTAAACTGTGATAGGAATTAATAAAAGTGAGTGAGGTAGTTTTTATTATTTCACAGCTATGGGGCATATCGGCTCGCAAATGTTTCCTCATCATTTCTGTTTGTATATTATCAGTGATTGCGTGAAATTCATATAAACTTCGATAGCTGATTAACAAGTTTTTCAGTCGCTTCCAAAATGTCAAAATTTCCACCGTATTCATCAAAACATTTGGAGCAAATGCAATAGAATCCGGATTTCCAATTGCCGCACTTGCCCATGGAAATTCCAATGATGCTGACACAGTTATTACTGGAATTTTCAATATATAACCAATTCCTATGAAACAGTTTGATGCAAATGACTGCAAACAGATATATTTATTTTTTTTAAATTAAAAAAAAAACTTTTTTATTTTATTTTTTAATAAAAAAAACTTTAAAAAATAAAAATAATTAATTTCAATTTTTAATTTAGTAGAAATTATATTTAATAGAATAATTATTAATTGAAATATAATTGAAAGAAATGAAAAAGAAAACTGACCTGAGTAATGAGAATATCGTAAGGTGGATCGTTTGGTGGTGATTTTATTAATTTCTGTAAATTTTCGTTATTCAGTAATTCACAAATATCATTGCCAAACATTTTTGATATTACAGGAATTAAATTTTGTAATTCAACGACAAATTCAACGGTAAAATTATTAACAACTTCACTTCTTGTACCGGATAAATTAATAATTGTTCGATAATTTTTCGGTGGATTTAACATTTGAAAATGGGTAACAGCATCAACTTGATGGCCACGTTTTGCTAAACCTCTAGTCACACCTTCAAAAACATTATTATGACTACGCGAATTATAGGGAAAAATTGCCAAAATTCTATAACCATCGGAAAAACAATTTTTTACCATCAACACCAATGATAGTTTAAATAAAAAATGATTTTGCCCGAAATTATCCATTTAGTTGTAGAAAAATATTGTTTTATAATAATAATGATAACAACAATAGCAATGGCAACAATAACAATAATAATGGTAACAACAATAGAAATGACAATAATAATAATGGTAACAAAAAAGCAATGACAATAATAATAACTGTATCAATGACTATAAAAATAACAATAAAAATAACAGTAAAACTGTCAATAAAAGTAACAATAATAATAACAGTAACACGAACAATAAAAATAATGATATTTTTAATTATTACAACACATTGTTTATTATTTTCGAATTTTGTGTTCTTTTTAAAAAGACACTAATCAACTGAAGTGTGAATCGTTTCTATTTTTTTCTTTGTTGTGCTTCGCTTCTAGTTTCTTCGCATTTAATATTTTATGTTTAATTCATTAAAGTTATTTAAGTTTTAAGATAATAGGAAATAATTTTCATAAAATGTTTATCTGAAATATTGAAATTTTAATTTAAATAAATTTTTTTTAAAGAAGAATAGTGAACTATTACTGTTAATATATTTTTATGAGAAAAATACAAAAATACAGTGGAACTCTTATTATCCGACCAAAATTTCGTTCAAAAACTGGTTTGGATGACCGAAAGTTGGGATAATAGAAATTGCTAATATTTTCGTTTATAATTGTGGATAAATGATTTTTTTGAAGTTAATTTGATATTTATTTTATTTTATTGATTGGCATTTATGTTTTTTTTAAGTATTTACATCAAAAATTAGAATGCAAATTAATAGAAGTAAAAAAAGTGTCGTTCAAACGTTCAGCACTTTTGCAACATAAAATTTTAAACGTTCAAAAGTTTTGGGGTAAGAAATTTTTTTTTATTTACTTTTGTATTATTTTATATCACAATATTATGATTTGCTCATGTTTAATATATTTTATTATACTAATTTTCTTTTTTGAAAACTGTTGTTCTTTTTCTGTTATCCTTTTCTTTTTTCCTTTCCTTGTAACCTTTTCTTTTTCCTTTTATTATTTTTCTATTTCCTTTTCTTCTTTTTCTATTCTTTTTTTATTCTTCGATTTGTTCTTTTACTTATGAAACTATTTATTCATTTTTTTGATGATTTGACGATTTTTTTGATCTTCTGCACAAAATTCGTAGAGTACGTTTGATAACGATGAGAATGAAATAAATTGTCAATATTAAACAGATTAAAATGAAAATGTAAACATCGAGCAGTTGCAATTGCCACCAGTATAAATTAACAGCTGGTGATTTTAAAGCATTTCCTCCATTTCTAATGACGTATCGAACCCAAAAGTCGACAGTATCACCTGCACTCATCGGTCTGTCCCGAAACAATCGCGATTGATATCTAGCAGATTCCCTGTGCGAAAAAATATTTATTAATTTTTAAAATCCTGTAGGAAAAGAAATTAAAAATACTATTTGTATAGTAGACTCTTAGCTGTCAGGAACTTCTGTGCATTTCTGCTTTGCAACTTTGCAAAATGTATTTCGAATGTAGCAAAGTTTGCTCATCCGGAAATAGTAAATGTTGCAAAGCAGAAATTCCAAACAGTTTAGATTTTATTTTGTAAATTGTAAAAGAAAAATATTCTTTCTTCAACCATACCTATAGAGCGGATTGTTGAGCACAAGATACAATGCGCTATCCAATGATTGAGTGGTAATTTTTTGATAATCAATCCGAATTGCCATGTTCTTCTGAACGAATATACGAACGTTGAAAAATTGATCTGCATATATTGGCATACCAATCATCGGTACTGCATGATAGAGAGCTTCTTGAGTGCCTATCAAACCTCCATGTGTCATAAATAATTTTGTATTATTGTGTCCTGCAAATGAAAATCAAAATGAAACAAAGATTCTTTCGGAATAAAATTTGCAGCATCGTGAAAATTTTTCATCTTTAATACCCAAAACTGGAATTTGGGGAATCCACTTTCTTGTCAGAACATTTTTCGGCAGACCCGGTGGTAATTTGTCAGGATTCGCAATTTTCATGAGGACCCTCATTGGCGATAGTTTCTCAAATGATTCATAAAATGCCAAAAGCGTCTCCTTCGGTAGGGTTTCAATCATTACCATTGAACCCATTGAGAAATAAATTACACCACTTCTACTGTCGTCCATCCATTTTTGAAGATCCTCAAAAGAAAGATAATGGAAAAATTATTGTTTCAAAACAACCGCTGCTATGGAAACAGTTGCTATGGTAAACATTATCAGAGGAACAGTTGCTATAAAAACCATTACCATAACAACCGTTGCTACGACGTGACGTAACGGACATAAGGATTTAACCCTAAAAATGAAAATACAACAAATAAATACTCACTGGTGATAATTTTTCGTCGTTTTCCTCAATGTGAACACCGGCAATGTCAACAATCGCCGGTGTTCTAGTTCTAATGCCAAACAACGTATAGAAAGAATTAACAAACGTCAGGGCAACACTTCTCTCAACTTGTCTAATATCGGGAATATCGGGACTCAAATATTTTCTCATTGCATTTGTTTGATAACTTTCTGTGTACATGTAAAATTGATATCTGCTGAATTGCGTGACGAAGGTATTTTTCAATCGTTCCCAAAATGATTTGATTTCAGCTGAATCCATTAAAACATCTGGTGCAAATGCCGTTGAATCGGGATTACCAATTGCTGATGGAATCCAAGAATATTCTAAACATGATGAAATCGTTATTACTGGTACTTTAAAAATGTAGCCAAGACCAATGTAACAATTTGATCCGAATGCCTGTGTAACAAAATTATTTTCGATAAAAATTAATTTATACACTAATTTATAATATAATAATTCTAAAGTGTTGATTTAAAAATTAATATTTGCAGTCAATTAACTTTTTATTTTAAAGAAAACATTATTTAATTTGAATAATTTTGAATTTCGCGCCAAAATAATTCATGAATTTGCCGCCTAGAGGGCATGAAAATTCTCTCACAAGCAAAACGAAATGAAGCGAATAGAGTAAATGAATCATAATAAAATCCAGTGAATATTTTATTGAATTTCACTAAACTAACATATTATTAGAATATTAGTTTATTAATATTTCTTTTATAAATAATAAACAATAAATATAAAATAAATAAAATAAATATAAAATAAATATTAGGTAGAAATTTACAGAAATATTTTATTGCAGATATTAATTAACTATATACTATTAATTTCTAATGAATTATTAATTCAACTTTTCTTTTTTTGAGTTTCGCGCCAACTTGGTTCTTTAAATTGCCGCCTAGAGGGCATGAAAATTCTCTCACAAGCGAAATTTCAAGTATTTTTATAAATATTAAAAATTTCACACTAATTCAATTATATTTACAATTTTTTACAAATTTCTTCTCAATAATTCAATTATTTTTATAAATAATAAAACTGTTCTCAGGAATTTAATTATTTTCATAAATAATAAAATTCATAGCAGGATTTTAATCAAAATCCTCGAAAAAAGTAATAATTCTTAAAAATTTTATTAAAATTCGTTAGAAGAATTCAATTACTTAAAAATTTGTTGATAAAATTCTTTATGAGAATCCAATTTTAACAAACATTTAATTATTCAATAATTTATTTTATTTTGAATTTAAATAATTAAATTTTCGTAGAATTTTCTAATAAAAGTTAATTTAAAAATGAATTTCTAAATAATCGATTTATTATTTATAAAATTAATTGAATTCTTGCAACGAATTTTATTACATATTTTTCAAATAATTGAATTCTTTTGAGAAATTTGACTACTTGTAAAAATAACTGAATTCTTGTGAAGGATTTTATTAATTATTATTATTTATTTATTACGATTTTTGTAAATAATTAAATTTTTTAAATTGTTAATTTCTATGGAAAAATAATAATGATTAAATATTTATTTTTAATAAAACTATTAATGAATAAAACTAGAGAAAATAATGAATAAAACAAATTGTTGAGCAGGCGAATTTTTATTTTTCGAATTTAAATAATTATGTTTCATTAAATTAAATGAAAATTAAATTACAATAATTACAGTTAATCAAATATTTTATTTTAAAGAAAATTTAATTTATTTTGTTCGTACAAAAGAGCGTTTGGAATCCAAATGAATTCATTTATTTTTTTTCCATTTATTTGATGAAATAAATTGCTGCATAAATAAATATTCGAAAAAATGAAAATTTAGTCACTTGAAAATTCAATCACAAGTTTGTTGAAAATAATATTTTTGGTAAAATATTACATTCAGTTCAATTAGATTTCGTGTTAAAAAATTATTTAAGTGGAAATTTTTATAAAATAAAAATTCTTTTAAATAACAGTTTGGTGACCTGAATACATGAAATAATACTATTTGAAGAAACAATTTTTGTTTTAAATTAAATTATTTTTATTTAACGAAATACCAAATTATTTGAATAAATAGGTAATTAATTAGTTAATTAGATTTAATATTTTACTTCAGAAGTAAATAAAAAAAATAAAAACAGAAATAAATAGATAATTAAATTTAACTGTTAACACATTAAATATAATAATAAATATAATTTGACTGATAAATTGTTTTTCTAAAATAAGAACGCGCTCAAAAAAACGTACCTCAGTTATGATTAAATCATACGGATGATGTTTTGGAGAATTTTTTATCAGCTCTTGCATTTTGTCGAGGCCCATAAGTTCACAGAGTTCATTTCCAAATGTAGTGGCAATAAATGTAACGGTATTTGTTCCTATTTGAGTGGCAAAATCAATTGTCATATTATTAAGTACACTCGTCCTTGTACCATTTAAATCGACAATTGTTTTGTAATTATCAGGTGGATTTTTTGGTTTATAGTGTGAAATTGCATCAATCTGATTACCACGTTTTGCCAATCCAATTGAAATACTCTCCAAAAAAATATTGTGACTCGGTGAATTGAAGGGATAAACGACAAGAATTTTATAGGAATTGCATTCGATAATTAGCGATAGAATGAAAATTAATAAAATCTGATAAGATTTAAACATTTTTTCTTGTGTATATACGAAAAAAAGTTTACTTGATTATAAGAAAAAAAATTCAATAAACGGAAAATCTAATAAAGTGAATGTTTTTGCACACTATATTTAAAATCAATTTTAGTTTAAATTTTTTATTACAAATTTTCTTTTTTGAATTATTACTCCGAACTATTTAACGATTCAGTGTTCAATAGCAAACATTGAGAATATATACTGTCAACGAATTCGAGTCTACTGTTCTAAAATAATTTTATATTTCTTATCGTTAACGTTTTATCATTTTTTTTCGCTGAAAGAAATGCGAGTTTAAGATTATTAGTATTATTCCACATCAACAGGGACATTTACGATATAATTAAACAATTTCATAATTATAATAGAAAAATATTTTCAGTTTAGCAAATTTTTGTGAGAAAAAAAAAATTGTAAAGTTAACTTTTCAATGGACAGAAATAATAATTCATCCAAACAATGAAATTAATCCAAATAATTAATAATTTTGTGCTTTTATATTTAATTTTAAATATTTTTTTAATGTAATTTTAAATAGAATTTCAAATATAATTTTAAATCTAATTTTAAATGTAATTTTAAATACAACTTAAAATTTGATTTTAAATACGATTTTAAACTTAATTTTAATATAATTTTCTCTCTAAATTTGAATTAGTAAAACTATTTACTAATTTTGAATTAGTGAGTTTTTGCTTTTGAATTAGTAAATTTTACTAAGAAAAAATATTTAGTAATTTATTAAATTTAAATTAATATTTATGAAAATTATAAATAATAAATAGTAATTTCCATTAATTTATTAGGTATTAAAATGTACTAATTCAAAAGCAAAAAGTCAGACACTAACTCAAAGTAAAATTTTCTAGTTTTACTAATTAAAGATAGAGAATTAAATGATGTTTTCAAATTTTAAACGTAATTTTTAGCATAATTTCAAATGTAAAATTTTAAATATAATTTCAAAACTATATTTAACAAAAGAAATATTATTTTAGCAGTGAATTGCAATTTTCAATCTTATTAAAAACAAATGATATATCTTCGAATTTTTCTAATTCTGCGATGAAGAGAAAAATTATCTGCTTGCTCATGATGAGTTAACGAAAAAATGGCAAAGAATTAATTCATAATATTTTTATCTTGAAAAGTAATTTATTAAAACAATGAACTCTACACGGGGGGAAGTAAAGTGTAATTAATTTCTTGTACGTTGACGTAATTTTGTTTTTTCCTTTAATATTAATTAAATAATTGTTGTTAATTATAATTGAGCGTGTCAATGCAAGAACCGGTCGTACGCTCGGGATACACATGTGGCGTACGACCGGTTCTTGCATTGACACGCTCAATTATTATCTATAACATTAAACTGAAAAAAAAAATTATTTATTTGATATTTGAATAAATATTTACTTCAATCAAATAATATTTATTGGAGTCAATTAAATGGTATTTGAACCAAAAATTTCAGTATTTGAAGCAAATATGAACTAAACCATTTAATTGACTCCAATAAATATTATTTGATTTAATTAAAATAATATTTAATTGATAATAGTCAATTAATCGGTTATTTGAATCAAATAAATTTTTTTTTCAGTGTAATGAGTAGTAATTGATAATTAATCATTTTTCTTATGACTTTGAGAATTTGGATTTAAAATAGTTGTAATGGAGAGGGAAATAATTTTTCTGAAAATAAAAAAAATTATGTAGCTTATTAAAAGTAGGGAAATAAAGAAAAATAGGTAAATATCGACAAGTTCAGCTTTCCAAAAGGGCATGTCCATTGATGGTGATCTTAGAGAATTTGCACCATTTCTTATAATATATTCTACCCAAAAAACTGCGGTGTCTGTTGCACTCATTGGACGTTCTCGAAAAAGTGTTGATTCACGTTTGGCAGATTCACTGAAATAATTAAATTTTAAAAATAATTTAGAATTTTTTTAAAATTATATTTATTATTATATTTTGGTATTTTTATCTTCTTGTATTTTTGTGTTTTGGTATTTTTCTATTTTTGGTATTTTTATAATTTTGTATTTTTGTGTTTTTGGTATTTTTATATTCTTGTATTTTTGGTATTTTTGGTACTTTTATATTCTTGTATTTTTCTATTTTTGGTATTTTCATGTTTTTTTATTTTTCTATTTTTGGTATTTTTATATTTTTGTATTCTTGTAATTTTGGTATTTTTATATTTTTGTATTTTCTTATTTTTGTTATCTTGTATTTTTGTATTATTTTATTTTTGTATTTTTCTTTTTTTAAATTTATATATTAACGTACCGATACTTTGGATCATAAAGAACAGCATTTAAAGCTTTAGTCAACGATTTTTCGGTTATATTTTCATAATTCATTTCGTAAGTCACATTTTTGTCACTAAGAATGCGAATATTGTACGGTTGATCGGCAAATAATGGAAAACCAATCATTGGCACTGCAAAATATAAACCTTCTTGGACACTATTAATTCCGCCATGAGTTATAAAAACTTTGGTATTTTTGTGCTCTAGAGAAAGAGAAAATAAGATAATTTTTTTATTTTTTATTTATCAACAAAAATAAAAATAAATATTTTCATCTCACTTAATACTGGAATCTGTGGAATCCAAGACATTGTCAGGACATTTTTCGGCAGACCCGGAGGAAGTTTTCCTCTATTAACAATTTTCATGAGCACGCGAATTGGTGCCAATTTGGCGAAAGATGCATATAAATTCTGTATAATTTCTCTTGAAAGATCTTCAATAATAATCATCGAACCAAGAGTGAAGAAGACCACGCCATCTTTACTGTCGTCCATCCAAATCTTTAGTTCCTATTTTGGGAAAATTATTAGAATTAAATGTCTATTTTTTAAAATCAAAACAAAATTTTAAGTTCCAAAGAAGATGATTTAGAAGAAGAAAACCATCCAAATCTTTAGGTACTATTTTTGGTAAATTAAATTATTTTTTCGTTTTGAATGTGTACATCGTACAAAATTCAAAAAATAAAAATTCAAAATAAAATTTGAAGAAGAAAGAACGAAAGAAAGACATTTTAGAAGGAATCATACCGGTGTCATTTTTGTATCGCTGAGTTCAATCTGGATGCCAGCAACTTGTACAATTGCTGGTGACAATGGTCTTATGCCGAAAAAACTATGATAGCCATTAACCAAAAGAAGAGAAATACTCTTTTCAATTTCCCTAACAGATGGTATAGTGGGATTCAAATATTTTCTCATGGCCAATGTTTGTTCTTCTTCTGTATACTCGAAATATTCATAATTGTAATAGTGAGTGAAAAAATGATTTTTCACCCGTTCCCAAAAGGTTTTCACCTGGAAAACTGAAGCTACCCAATTAGTTGCATATGCATTGGACATTGGGTTTCCCAGTATATCGTCGAACCATAAAAATTCATTCAATGCCGACACTATAATTACTGGAATTTTCAAAATATGTCCAATACCAATGTAGCAATTTATTGCAAATGCCTAAAAGAGGAAAAAAAAGAAAAGGAGAAAGTTAAAATTTTTTTCAAATTTGGAATGATTTAAGGAAATTAACAAAAAACATTTGCAATTGCAGACTTCACTGCGAGAAAACAATATATTTGAATCAAACATAATTATCTTTAAAAAAATATTTAAAACAAAATTTTTTTAAATAATTAAATCAAAAATTATTTTTGAATTAAACATAATAATTTTGATTATATAAAAATTACGTTTAATTCAATTATAAAATATGTTTAATTCAAACATTTTTTTTGTTGACTACTTATTTTTGGATTAAAACAAATTTTATTCTCAGTGATTGCACTCGATAATTAATTTTAGAAAGTAGTTTTAAGACTAAAAAATAAGTAACAAGTAAAATAATAAAGTAAAGTAACAGTAAGGTGAAAAGAAGCTATCGAAAAATAAAGTTTGGCGATTAAGAAAACTTATTTTATTCGATTCAAAAAAATTTGATTCAGTATTTTCCTGACTTTTTCCTGATTTTCATAAGAAATATTCACTTTCTTTCTTATCCTGATAATTAACTTCAATTCTAAATTTTTCTAAACATTAATTATTTTACAAATTTTCAATTAGAATTCTTCAAAAATACAATTATATTTAAAAACAATTTTTAAAACTGTAAAAAAAAAATTCTTTATGAAATCAATTTTACTTTAATTAAAATTCAGAATTTTTAATATCTTAAAATTTTATACAGGAATTCAACTATTTCCAAAAAGTTCAGTTATAATTTTTCAAAAAGCTAATTTATTTTATAATTTCTAAATTAAATTATTAAAAACTTGAATTAACTATTGTTAAATAAGTATTTAACTTTTAAATACTTTTTTATTTTTCCACAGAAATTAAGATTTCTAATAATTACAACTGTAATTCATCCAAAATTCAATTATTTTTTTTTTTTTGAATTTTCAAATAAAATTATTTAAAACTTTAATAATTATTTGGGGAAATAAAAAATTAATAATTTTTTAAATAAAAATTTAAATATTATTACAGTTTAATGACAATTAAAATATTCAAAAATTACAATTTAAAATTTTTCTTGAAAATTAATTATTTCTAAAAATTTATACAATTAATTGTTTGTTGAAAGTTTTACGGGAATTCAATATATAAATAATAAATGTTTGATTCAGTAATTAATTATTTCTTAAAATTAAATTATAAAGAATTTTATGCCAATTTAAAAAATTTTTTAAAATAATTCAATAATTTTAATAAAAAATTTCAGAAAATTCAATTAAAATTATATTAAAAATAATTGAAATCCTGCAAAGAATTTTTTTGTTTATGAAAATAATTAAATTCTTACTACGAATTTTTTTAGATTATTTAAAAATAATTTATGTAATTGTTTTGAAGAATTTCTTTCAATTTTTTTGAAATAATAGTTTCTTTTTAATAATTTTAATGGGAAATTCTGAAAGTAATATTGAATTTTATGAAGAAGTTCTGTTAAGTTTTAAAAATATAATCAATTTCGTTAATAAATTTAATTAATAATTTTATTGGAAAATTTTATTAAAGTTATTCGGAGAAAATTAAATCCTTTTCATGAATTTTTTTATAGTTTTTGAAAATAATGTCTATTTTTAATAATTCTATTTGAAAATTAAAAATAATTGATTTTTACCACGAATTTGTTTCAACTTTTTAAAATTATTGTAATTAAAAATTTTATTATTGAATTTTATTACAATTTTTGAAAATAACTAAGAATTATAATAAATTTTTTAAGAATAATTGCATTTTTCGCGTATTTAATTTCAAATCGTATTAAAAAAAATTGAAATTTTTTGAAGAATTTTTTATTTATGAAAGTAATGGAATTCTTGTAAAGAATTTTTAAAAATTTTGTTTAAATAATTTAATTTCCTTAAGAAATTTTTAATTAAATAGTTTGAGAAAAATTAAATTCTTTTCAGAAAATTAATTGCAATTGTATTGAATATAGACGAATTGTTATAAACAAATTTCATAAAAATTATTAAAAATAATTGATTTTATTCAGAGAAATTTATATAAAAATTTGTTTAAATAGTTAATTTGTTTAAAAAAATTTTATGAAAATTCTATATCAAGTAATTGAATTAAAGAAAAACCAAAGAAAAAAGTATCCAAATAGCAAATCGAAAAAAAGTAGTAAAAATAGTAGGTTGTAGTAGGTAAGTGCGAAGTCTAAAATTATTTGAAATTAAACTAATTATTTTAATTTAGATTATAATTGAAGCGTTTTGTGCAGAAACCGCATAAGTCCATTTTTTCGAAAATCACTTTTTTATTGAAAATTTATCTTTAAATGAAGCTTTTCAATCTGGTAAAATATTACATAAGTGACTAAACTCTAAACCCTTAAAAAATAATTAAAATATCATTTTGTGCAGAAACAGCATAAGTCCATGATAAGTTTTATATTTATTTGTGATATTCTTGACGTATTTTAATAATTTATATTAAACAGTTTATATTATAAATAAAAAAACTCATGGGAAGCAAAAAGTGACAGTAGACATTACCTCTGTAATTAATAAATCATACGAACGATCCTTTGATGATTGTTTAATTAATTTCTGTAAAGCATCAAGTGCCATTAAATCGCAAAAATTATTGCCATAATGTTTTGTCACTGTTGGAATGAGATCACTTTTTTTGAAATCATTTATCATTTCTATTGTCCAATTATTTATTTGTGCCGGCATTGTTCCATCTAAATTGATAATTGTTCGATAATTTTTCGGCGGATTCTTCAAAACAAATTGTGAAACAACGTCAACTTGATGTCCCTTTAATGCCAAAGCTTTTGCCACACTTTCCAACATGTTATTGTGACTTTTTCCAGTAAATGGGGAAATTGACAATATTTTATATCCATCACCCAGGGTTAAAGAGAAAAAAAAGTAAAAATAAATTACGAAAAACATTTTTTTCGACACAATAAAAAAATTGACTTCTTGTCTACTTTTTTTAAACTGATTTTTTTAACTTTAATTGTAAATTTCTTCTTATCTTAAGAATTTTCTAAAAATTATAATTATAAATGTTAATTAGTTTTGCATATGTAAATTAAATGTAAGCCACTTGACAAGGTCTTTTTACTTTCGAAACAAATTTATTCTCTTTTTCTTTCATATTTTTTATTCTTTTTCTATTATTTTCTCTTTCTCCAAAATAATGAATAATTGCTCTTTCTCTAAAACTATTATTTAACTTAAATGTTTTCTCAAATAAAATTTTTTAAATAAATACTTGTTCAATTCGGTTTGTTCGTAACGAGAAATATAAATACCTAAATGAAGATTAATCATCTTTCCCGTTGTTTTTCGAAGAATTGGAATTAAATTTTTTTTTAATAGGCAAATTTTTTTTTAGAATGAAAAAAGCGGTGTAGCTTATTAAGAGAAGTGATGTGACGAAAAGTAGATAGACGTCGACAAGTTCATCTTTCCAAAAGGGCATGTCCATTGATGGTGATCTTAGAGAGTTTGCACCATTTCTTATAATATATTCTACCCAAAAAACTGCTGTGTCTGTTGCAGTCATTGGATTCACGTTTTGCAGCATTTCTAAATTAATCATTTTCAGAAATTTACAAATTAAATTCACAGGGCTCGAACTAAGTTCGTAAATTTCGTACAGGTCCGTAAATTTGCTTGAAGTCCGTAAAAGACCATTTTTTTAAAAAAGGTCCGTAAAGTCTATAATTTTATTGAAAAAGGACGAAAAGTTCATAAATTGTACGATATTTTAATAATGTTTTATGAAAATTGCAACATTTACTGAAACGAGTCATAAGTATTATTAAAAAATTATTGTTCTTATTTACCAAATTTTTCCAAAATGCACCTAGAAAGTTGCAGTTTTTTCCTAATTTTGCTATTTACTAAACTCGGTATGATTACAGATTACAATTTATAAACAAGTTATTAATTTGTTTAAAAATTGTTTAAATAATAATTCAATTTTTATTTTTTACCTGTAATAATATACAATTTAGTAAATTGCAAAATTAGGAAAAAACTGCAACTTTCTAGGTGCATTTTGGAAAAAGTTGGTAAATAACAACAATAATTTGTTTAAAAATTGTTTAAACAATAGTTCAATTTTTATTCTTTATCCTAGCATTGGTTTGACAATATCAGATCCACTAAGTATTTGATTGTTTAATGATACCCCGCAAGTCTCTGCACCGCCATCAAATAAAAGTCTCATATTGTCAGGTTTATTGGGATTTACTACTCCAAAGTGTGGCAAATTATCTTTTTTGCACAGCCTGTTTTTTACAGCTTCTCAACCTCTTGTATATATTTTATTTCATAATCAGGAGTTTTGTCCATTTTTTCAATTGATCTTAGTCGTTGAAACGCATACTTTTTATTACAGGGCATTTTTACATTGTCACACTTCCATAATTCTCCAGTCTCCCATCTGTCTCCCATCCAGTCTCCCATCGTCAGCAGCTGGGCAACACTTTCATCTTCAATATTCCGTTTATTTTTTGTAGTAACTCCTAATGCTTGTATATTATAGCTTCGTTTAATTATTGAAGTTAACTCCCTGTCTCTCTCCCTTCTTGATCAATATCACAAGTTTTCGATTTTATTGTCATAGTGGCGTTCATTTTTCTTTTAATTTTTGCGCACATATTATCGAAATTTGGATTTTTATTTCCGATCGCGATAAAAACATTGTTTGCATTTCCTATCATGGTTTTATTAATGTCATTGCCCAACAAAATTTTCTCGTTTTATTCTAGATGATTTTTTAGAATTTAAAATATCTTTTTTTTAAATTTTCTTCTTCTACGTCAAACAATATTCTTTTGTATTTTAAAATTGCTTGTACTTTTGAATTATCTATTAGTTTGGTGATTCCTAATTCTTTTCTTAAATTTTCCTGCAATTTTACCTCACTACTGTTAAATTCATTTAAATTTTTCGTGTTTCCTGACAACTCGTAATACTCTTTGTTTTTCAACTTGACAATTTCATGTACATTTTGATTTGTATTCATGATGATTGCAGTAATAGGATATTTAATACCTAAATCGATTCTTATTATTTTTTCAAATTCTGTATGCCAATTCGGAGTTTTGCACGTTTCGTTTTTCTGAAAATTTCGTTTAACAAAGGTAAAAACCGTTGGACGAGTCCATTTTTTAACAACTTTTGGCTTTTCTGTCTCTCTTTTCCCATGCTGTTATTTCCGCTGCATTTTCGAGTATATCTTCGGGTTTTGTGGTAATATTGCTGACGTATTCCCAGTGGTCGTTCTTGACCAGGATTGCCTCGATTTGAATTCTCCATGTATCGTAATTGTCTTCGCACAATTTTTCCATTTGGATTGACGACACTGACGCCATTTCGAATGTTCACGTACGATTTCTCAGACACACACACTGACCAACTGCAAAGGGCTCAATGATGAATTTGACACTTGTTGCGAGTATTGAGAATGATTTTCCATTGATTCTTGTGATCCTCTTGTTTGCGATTGTAGTTGCAGTGTTTTATGACGTATTGTCGGATTTTCAATAATATTTAATGGAGGCCTTTTAAAATTTTTCTTCATATTGGTGGATGACGATGGATTTCCCTTTAATATTATTGAGCAAACAGATTATTTCACTTTTAAATATTGTTTCTTTTTTTAAAAAATTATATTATTTTTTCTTTAACAAAGGAAAAAACCATTGGAGGAGTTTATTTTTTAACAACTTTTGGCTTTTTTGTCTCTCTTTTCCCATGCTGTTATTTCCGCTGCATTTTCGGGTATATCTTCGGGTTTTGTGGTTATACCGCTGACGTATTCCCAGTTGTCGTTCTTGACCAGAATTGCCTCGATTTGAATTCTTCATGTATCGTAATTGTCTTTGCACAATTGTTCCATTTGGACTGACGACACTGACGCCATTTCGAATGTTCACGTACGATTTCTCAGACACACACACACTGACCAACTGCAAAGGATACAATGACGAATTTGAGATTAACTATCTCGCGTCTATAGTTTTGTTTCGATTTCGGCCGAACTTTTTCAATTCACTTCAGTAAAACTGCAGTAATAGGGGCCTGGGCACATAACCTATTGGTTATGACAATGTTTTATTGCAAGTGTTTACGAATTTAATTACATTCTTTTTCATTGTCAATCATTTTGAAACTGTGTAACGTTGAATAATTTTAAATATCTACCAAATTAATTTCTTTTTTTTAACGACACAAATAAAGAATTACGAAATACAATCTATCAATTGGAAAAGTGTGGACTTTGTTTACTTTAAACAAGTATGCATCAAATTAAATATTTACAATTTTCCAATTTTATAATATTTTTACGAGGCTTCCATTTCCTCGCGATTCTCTCTAATCGTCTCGTCATCTACTTCCGAGTATACGGGGCTGAATGCGGAACTCCCGCTGCTGCTACTTAAGACACTCTGTAGACTATTTCTACTTCCTCTTCTTGTTCTGTCCACGATGATTTGTGGAACCTTCAGTGCGGCGTTGCCCTCCTGCATCCACGGGCCACCGGCCATTGTCCCTAAGCTAGGCGCTTGACAATTGGAACCGGTGAGGGATTTAACTAAAGTATTACCCTGCAGGTATTTCTGTTTTTGACGGTCGCTCATCATGTTCGTTTCTTTCTGTTCGGTTGTCCTTTAGGGAAAAGCCCCGCCACCACGGCAAGGTCTACCAAACATATCCAAGATGCCAGTCGTGTCTGGCAGCGAACCCACTTCTCCCAGCACATCAAAGATATAAATGATGTCTGGCAGTGGACCCACTTTTCCCAGCCCATCAAAGAAATCAATGATGTTCGGCAGTGGATCCACTTCTCCCAGCACATCAAAGAAATCAATGACATTTGGCAGAGGACATGCTTCTCCCAGCACATCAAAGACATCGATGATGTTGAAGTTTTTTTCAATTTTATAATATTTTTACGAAATACAATCTATCAATTGGAAAAGTGTGGACTTTGTTTACTTTAAACTAGTATGCATCAAATTAAATATTTACAATTTTAAATCGTTGAAGTTTTTTTTAATTTTATAATATTTTTACGAGGCTTCCGTTTCCGGTACCGTTTCGGTATACACGCGTTTGAAAAGAGTTAAGAGTTTTTTTTGAGAAATTTTGAAGGTTTTAAAAAAGGGTGGGTAGGGTAGAGTGTTGAGGTTGAAGTGCTTGAAGTGAGAGAGAGGAGAGAGACAGTGGAAAATTTTGAGCATTTGAGTGATAATATAGATTTCTGGAATGGCTGAGTTTGACTCAAGTAGTGTATGCGAGAATGAGAAAAAGGCGCGAGTATTTGAAAGGGGAATAGGAAAGAATGGAAAAAATGATGACGTGTGAAGATTGCATGGATTTGTTAGAATTAGTATGGATGTTGAAGGATGCGATGGATGAAGGAGCTAAGAGAGTGAAGGGAAATTAAATATTTACACTTTTAAATCGTTGAATTTTTTTCAATTTTCTAATATTTTTAACATCAAATTGAATGTTTACAAATTTAATTACATTCTTTTTCACTGTCAATCGTTTTGGAACTGTGTAACGCTTTCGGGTTTTCCCTACGGCATTGTCGCCGCTCGGGACAATAGGGGTTCAGGCCCCTCTAAATGTTTCATTTTTCAGCTTAGGATGTTTGTGTAAGTTGCTTTACCTTTGCAAGTAATGTTTGCAAACTAATTTAAAACAGATTACTGATAATTTACTAGATCCAGTTTCTATTCTTATAGCATATCCTGGTGAAAATGGGAGATTTTTGGTTTGAATTTTAAGCCTTATCTTTGAAGCGATTTTATTTTCTAAATTCTGTTATTTTTTGTAAAGTAAAGTATTATAGTTTATTTATTGCGACGCAACAGTGTTCATTAATTATTACTTTTCTATAGTATCTAGAAATAGTTTCTAGTTTCTATAATCGAATTGGATTTGATGTGTTTAAAATGTATGC